AGGAAAACTCTGTTACAGCGGTCTGTTGGTTTGCACACTGTTTGGATTAGGGAGAACATTTTCTTCATTAATCATTTCTGTCAGCATTCAAAGATCTTCATTATGGCACAACCAAAAAAAAAAGACTTATTTCAATCATCTAACCTATCCACATTTTTCATTGATCAAAGTGGCCTTTTGCAATTTCAAAATGTCACTTATCTAACCTGCTTTGCATGCAAATGCAAGGCACATGTTCATTACATGAAATTTACTTTACACAATTTAACAACACACTCCTGGAACAATTTTTATGTCAGAATTCTTCCCTGTGTGCCTGTGATAGTAGGTGCACTGTCGGTGCACATATGAGTATTTTGACTTACTGCTTCTGGTTAAAAAAAAACTTGTATTCACTGCTTTTATACTGATAAGAGTCTGCACACATATCTTTTGGTTTTGAATTTGCAGTGATCACATCTTAATGCCACACCCTGAAGGAAAGCAGATTGTCACTTATAAAGTGTATCTCACCCAATTTCATGGTGTATCCTTGTACAAGCAGGAGTGGTGTGCCATAGCTGTAGATGAAGTTTAATACCCTTTGAACGAATCACTGAATGTTCTGCCAATAAAAAATGACTCACCCGGCAACGTGTATTCACATGAACACCAAACCAAACATAAATGTGTTGTGAAAATAACAGAACTCTAACCAAACATTTCATACTGAGAGGGAATAATCTATTTCCACTGGTGGTCTCACAGGACATTTCTATTTAATAACAGAATCCCACTAACTGATAATTACAGTTGGATGGGAATTGGAAGAATTACAAGACACACTGAGTGCATGAAGCCAAGGTAAACTAACTCCTCCACCATTCCCAGCTTTCTCCTCACTTATCTCTCCACTAGCACTTGGCGTCTTTGTCAATCAGATCAGCAATGTCTATCTGAAAGATATAGAAGTTACTGAAGGATAAAAAGGGGGGAAAAGGACGGAAAATCCTAGATTCGTGAGAAGAAAGGAATGAGTGGGCGATTGTGAGTAATTGGCAATCCCCAGGGATTATTTTTTCATTTATCTCCTGTTAACCAGTGACTTAACCTTCCACAACACAAATATATGAATTATTAGTTCCATTGGCTTTAAGTTTCTATCTTGACAGAAACAAACAACTAAGTACGTCGTCATGTAGTAGCCATGTAACATGGAATAGAAAATAGAAAGTCAATGTCAAAAAGTGTCTAAATCCAGGGTTTTTGGCTGCAAGTAATTGTTTTATAGATGCCTATTGGTTATGGGAAATATTGCTATATTTTACTGCTCAAGATTGTTAAAGTGCACTCATGACCTATGGAGAAGAAGTCATCCTTGCTTGCAAAACAGATTTGTTTCTTGAGCACATACCAGAGAAAACCCTGCCTGGGCTCAACGGAATAGCTGGGTTAAATATTGAGTCACAAATGGCAAACAAAGTCATGTGTACGTTCTCAAGCAGTAGTTCCTGAAAATGTGGATTTGCTAGACTTAATAACAGTTGTATCAACTGAAGATTACCTACCTCAACAGCTCTTTCCACTGGAAGAAAGTAGCTTCCCAAATGTCTCCAACTGAATGACTTTAAGAGAACACTTCTAGGATGCAGGTCAGGGGAAAATTGGAGACAGAGAGGAGGATATGTTTTCTTCCCTTATAAGTAAAGTGGATGAGCATGTAGCGATGATATATTTAAAGCTAAAATATCTGGGATGAGACTTCTTTAAGTGCAGAGAGACAGTAAGAATGAAGCACGGAGAATTGTGCTGGTTTTTACCACCAGATGGCATAAATTTGGACAGCAATCAAATCCCACCATATTAGCAGCAGAAATGTGTATAATCAATTCCTGTCTGAAGGTTTTGCTCTGACTTCAAGAGCTTGTGAAATGCTATTTTATTACCAAAAATAAATTCTTAAATTTCAAAAGTGAAATTTTCCCACTTATGCAGTAACTTTTAGGGCATATGTCTTAAGCATATATTGGGTTTGCATCAACTCTTTTTGGAGCCAGAACCTTTAAAAACCTGCAAAAACTGCAAAGTCATTTGAATGAGGACTAAATATTTATTCCCTTCTCATTGGACTCAAATGTTAGATTTGATCAGCTCCAGCCTTTGTGCTATTTAAAAAGAACCAGGCTTTCCAGTCACAGTAGTGATGTCACCATATGTCACCAAAGTTTTACAAACAAAGAGAAAAATCATTAGTTTTTCTTCAGTCTTCCAACTCCAATTTGATTTATTAAATAAAATAATAACATTTAAATTGTAGGTAAAAAGTTTAACAATCCCATAAAAACAATGTTCACCAAATAGATATATTTCCCAAGAGTCTATATGCATTACTGAAAAAAAGATGACAGGATGCATTTTACATTTGTAAGGCGTTTTCAGTGAAATAGCATTTTCCTATAAAATCATTAATCTATTTCTGATCATTTTTAAGGCTCTGCGGCCGGAGGGCCGCCTTGTTGTGTTGAAATTTGTCCGTTTATCTCCCGTGGCTGACAGTTGCAGCACACAGTGTACAGGTAGTTAGAAGTAAAGGCATACAGGAGTGGATTAAGACAACTGTTTACAAATGTTAGTGCTATAACCACATCCTTTATATCTACACTAGACTTCCACAGACGTTCATTCTGAAGAGAAATAGCTGCCACACCCAACACATTTATGGAATAAAATGGAATCCACAGGACGAACAACGTTACAGTGATGCTGATAACCAGTCTAGTTGTCTGAGCGTGGTTGAAGAAAGATGCCTCATTCACTTTCTTGAAGACACGAAAATATGCAAACGCTACTACAAAAAGGCAAATAGATAACACCAGAATCTCCGTCAGCATCACTGCCAACTTCTGGGCATCAGAAACGTATTGAGGAGAGCAACGTGTGCGTTTCCTGTCATGATCCGTGGTCAGCTGTCGAACGACCGAGGCAGGTGTTGAGAGCACCAATGCGACCAGCCAGAGCAGAGCCAGCAGCTTTCTCGTTCCTACTTTACTCAACCACCTCTGCTGGTGCACTACCAGCAGGTAGCGGTGGACGCTCAGCACAGTCAGAGTCAGCTGTCTGCTGTAAATGCAGCTGCACTGAAAAAAAACTAAGAGCTTACAGTAGGCCACAAGGCCAAAGATCCAGTCGGAGAGCAAAGAGTAAATCCACACGGGAAGGGTCAGCAGACAGAGCAGGTCTGATATGGCCAGATTCAGCATCAAACTCTGGCTCAGACTGCAGAGATGCTCCCAGTTGGGCTTGAGAATGATCACTGCGATGTTTCCAGGAACTCCCAGCAGGAAGCAGAGCGAAAGGATCCCTGCAGAAATCGGACCTCTAAAATCCCAGGAAGGAGGAGAGAGGGGTGCTGAAGAATTGTAGATTGTAGAGGAGACCATTGTGGAGTTGAGATCTGCCATGCTGCCGAGTTGCTCAGAGGGCTGTGCACTGAGCAAGTGATGGTGGCCAATATGTGGTGTGTCAGGAAAAGGAAATTAGTGGCTTTTTTTTTTAAGTACTGAATGAGGCAGTAGGAACCGAAACACTGACAGTCATACAAAAAAAAACTGGTAGCCCAAAAATAACAAGTTAAATGTTTCAGCCCCTCTTTATCTGTCTGTTGAGCGTGTAAGGAGTCAATATCAAAAGCACATATAGCCTCCTTTTTGCTTCTTATCTCTTTACAAGTTATGGAGCTCATAACTTAAAAGCCAGCTTGAATGGTGATACTTCTCACTAAATGACTCACAAAGTCCCAAGCTCACCTGAGAGCAACATAAAGGTTCTAGTTAATGATGGAAAGATGAGGCCTTCAAAAGGTGGGTTGGTTGCTCACATTCTGTTTCTATCTACAAGTAGACAGAATTTTTATAGAATTTTTGTGAGCAAGTGCTGGCGGTGGATATGTGGTGTGTCAGGAAAATAAGTTACGTTCAAACAAACAGGAAACTGGTACACTGAGGCAAATAAACGTTGCATATTTTTTTATTGTTCTTGCTAAAGATATCTAAGCTCTTCTATTTCAATTTGGAGTAAAGGGAAATCGAAATCAAAATCGCACACTTTTCTGCTGAATTGTATTACCTAACTTTGAAATGAGAGCTGTGTAGGCAAATAATCACATGTGCAGCCTGGAATATCCATCTGTTCACTCACTGTCTAGAATACTTAAATATAATATATATTAGATTTTTCTCTTACTCTTATCAAACAATATCAGTATATCTTTATATGCTTATTAGGTTTAGTTTTGCATGAGACAGATGCAAAATTTAATTTGGTTCTACAATAATTGATAATTGTATCTGTTGTACAGTGCAGTCATATATCTTTGACAGTTCCTGATTAAACACCTGGCTGAGTTTGAATGGAGAATAATATCCACCCTTGTTCATATTATGCAAGTAAAAATGTGCAAACTATAAACAGATGAAAGATATTCAAATGATAGTCTGGCTTGACGGTGTTTTTGGCCTGTAGTTGAGCTCTGCGGTTCCTGGACTCTGCTGCTGAACAGTGGAGTATTTTAGTTGATGTGCGGCACATTAAATTAACAAATTAGTGCTGTTAATCCTCACGGCATTGCAAATAATCTTGGATAATTCCAGGTCGAGAAAGCCGTGTGCGCTGTTGCAGTATCTAAAGAAATATGAAGTAATTCCTGCTGCACAGCGATACAATTAATCAAACCGACATCAGTTTAAATACAGTGAACTCAGATTTGCCGTCTTCCTGTATTTGTAGGACCGATTAACACGGGAAAAAACAGATAAATATATCGTCTGCCAAAAAAAAGGAGCCTCTTTGAAATGACAGTCATCACTTTAAAACAGCGGTGTTCTGCGAAGAGTCTCCACGTCATGGAAAGGTTTCCAAAAGTCATCGCTGTATGGTTGGTCACGTGATCAGAACCCCCTATCTGCCCTGAGCTGGCTCACCCCCACTATGAGGGTTTTTTTCACTCAGTCTGGGATGGATATTTCTATCCAGACGTTAGACCAAGCTCTTTCTCAGTTCCGTCACATACATTTTTACCCCCGTCTAAAAACATTTTGTACAGTTTTTTTTTTTAAACCGAGGAGATTGTAGCCAGATAAGACTGACGTCGTGGAAGTTTCTTGGATGGAAAGTAGTTGTGTTTTTGTGATTAAACACTTTTTTATTTGATAAATGAGCTGTCGAACACTTGTTGGAGGGGGCTTTGAGTGTTTTCAGGTGGGAATTTTTCATTTGTTGCTTGCATCCTTTCAAAACTAACCCTTTTGTTTTATTTTGCATGGAGAGAAATTAATTTTATGTTTAGCCTGCCAGGCTATCAGACATTCCTTAATTTTTTTTTTAATCAATGATGCAGTATTAGTTGCCCAAGATTTTAAAAGAATTTAAAAATGTTTAAAATTAAAAAATAATTATCCTTAGGAACATACCAATTAAATATTTTATTGTTAAAATAATGGGTTGCATGCTTTATTCTTATTTATGACATCGTCTTATTTTTGTGCATGTTTTAAAAACCCTTTTGAGCTTGTCACAGAGTCCTTCACTCTGTATGAAATCCATTCACTGTGTTGTTGGTAGACTAAGTTTGTGCTCCATCTGCTGGCCTTGCCTTTCAGAGCGTCACAGCAGTCTGAAAACACTGATATGTTTCTCAATCTCTGTGAAATAACTTGCAGTTTTGTCATTTGATTTTTCAGTGGGATGGGCCTTAAAATCTTCGTGTGTGTGCTGCTTTATGTGGCGTCGCTGACACTTTCCGTTGTTTTTGCCAAGAGTGAGAGCAGCGATGCATACAGCTGGACCAGGCAGAGCCTTCCGGGGCTGCAGGTCACACATACGGCATTTTTAAACCAAACCCTGTTCAGAGGGCAGGAAGAGAGCGAAGTTCAAGGACAGGTGAATACACTCTGTGGAATAGAATGTCAAAGCAGTTTGCCATCGATGGACCACAAAGAGCAGGAGAGGATTCTGGGATATGAGACAATGTATGACAATGGCACACGCACCCACACGGACATCAGTTTGCAGCGGATGAACAAGACGTCTAAAGCAAGACTGACAGGCTCGTCGACTCGTGCTCGCAGGAAGCGGCAAGTTTACGGAGCAGATGGGCGCTTTGTGATCTCAGATTCACACTTCATCACCAACTACCCGTTCTCCGCTGCTGTCCGCCTCTCCACGGACTGCTCCGGCGTCCTCGTATCTCCAAAGCACGTGTTAACAGCAGCACACTGCATCCATGACGGCAGAGACTACCTGTACAGTGCCAAGGGGCTTAAAGTTGGGGTGCTACAGGTCAAGACCAAAAGAACAAGGAGGAGAGGGGGGAGAAGGAGGGGTGGGAGGAGACATGAGGGAAAGAGAGATGAGAGGGAAAGAGATGTGCGGCCGAGTGTGGGAGGCGAGGAGAACAGCGGCACAGCAGACAGGGGAGAAGAAGATAAAGGTGGAAGAAAGAGGAGTGATGTGCGAAAACATGGCAGTGGAAACAAGAAGGTTAAGAGAAGACGGGGATCAAAGCGAAACCGCCCTGATCGCATTCGAAGAAGTGTAGGACCAGACCAGCAGCCTGTTTTTCGATGGAGTCACGTGAAACGAACCCAAATCCCTCAAGGGTGGATTCACGGCAAGGGCTCCCCCAACTCTGCGTCTGCTGACTACAATTACGCTCTCCTGGAGCTGAAACGACCCGTCAGCCAGAGGTACATGGAGCTGGGCGTGGCGCCCGCTTCAACGCCACTGTCCCGCATCCACTTCTCCGGCTACGACGCAGACAAAAGCCAGTCAGAGGGGCTCGGAGATAAAGCGGTCATTTATCGCTTTTGCTCAGTAACAGAGGAGTCTGAGGACTTGATGTATCAGCAGTGTGACGCGCAGCGCGGGGCAACAGGGGCAGGAGTTTATGTTCGCCTGCTGCAGGATGCAGGAACAACGGGCCGGAAGGGGAAGTGGCAGAGGAGGGTCATCGGGGTGTTTTCAGGGCATCAGCGGGTGGGAACGGAGGGGGATGAGCAGAGGGACTTCAATGTTGCAGTGAGGATCACGCCCCCGAAATACGCCCAAATCTGCCACTGGATCCATGGTGATCCAAGCCTGTGTAAAGAGGTCTGACAATGCGAGACAATGGCGTTCTAAGGCAGTCAAAGGATAGGTCCAGTAAACCTTCATGTCACTGACTCATGAAACTCGGTCTATGTACAGAGAAAAACATTGGTAACTCTTAGTGTTAAGTGAGATTCTGAGGTGCAGTCTCTACTAAAGACATGTTATGAGAAGGCTGCCGTCACTGTTCCTGCAGCATTGAAACAGCACAAACCCCAATGTGCATTTTCACCAGCACATTGCAACACGTTGTGGAACAAACTGACAAAATCTGTGGTTTCAATGACTATTGTTGCTGTTTTTGGTCGTGTTCTCGTTGAAATTGTTTGAAATAGTTTGATGATACTCATGTTATCTATGTCCCATGAAATATTTGTATACTGAAACAATGCAGATTCCAATAAAACATTTAGCTCAAAAAGTTTGAACAGATTCTTGTCGGAAAGGAAAACCTATCCTGTATCCACTTATGTTCCTGATGTGAAATGTTGATGACGTGTTTCCCAAAAAGGATTGCTATTCATGATGTAGATATAAAACCAGATCTGTTGATTTCTAAATAAAGTGATTAAATCCCGCTTTATTATCAAAATAAATAATATTTAATTAAATGTTGTAAATTAAAGAGAACATTTTGGTAGCTATTCAGAAAGTTGGGGCAGAGGTATATTTACAAGTGTGTTGCGCCAATTGCTCCTTTGATAAAAAATTTTTAGTTTTCAGAACTGATTAATTCAGCATTAAGAGATGCATGTTTGAGCATCCTCATTTGATGACAGATTCCAGCTGTTAAAGGGTTTTTATTTCATTTTGACATTTGACATTTGCAGTTGGAAAACCAGATCATTTCGTAAAACTGTGAAACAAATCTCAGATTAGCACACCAAGATTTATAAAAACTAGAAAAGGGTTAGACAAACTGACACATGCATATACATATACTAGCAAACACAGTCTTTGTATTCAGTTATTATCATTAATAATATTGTTATTAATTCCTTTAGAAATCTGTTTATTTATCTGTTTATTTATCTATCTGTCTTGTCATAGCAGTGGTGTCACTGAGGGTGCTTATAATAACTAGATGACTCAGTCACAGAGCCTCAATGGCGTGGAAGAAATCTAATAGTAAGGAATATAACTGAAAGACAATCTTTTTACATTGCAAAAAAAGAAAAAGGAAACAAACGAATTAAAGCACATTTTCTCTATACCTCCTTTTCACGTAGATCTATTTTATGGTTGACATCAGATATGTAAAAAGTGCAACTTATGTACAGCTTCTGAGAACTTATTACCACATCCTGTATGTTTAAACAAGAGATACAATCTCTTGACGCAAACCCTTCCTGTTTTTTCATGCAAAACTAATTTTATTTGTGATCATTATCAAAGATCTACAGCAAGAGTGTCATCTTCTTTTACTGTAATTCCAATGTCTTGACTTGGTGGCTGAGTTTTCTGGCACACAGTGCAAACATTAAAGGCAAAGCCATACAGGAGTGGATTCATACAACTATTTAGAATTGTTAGTACTCTGAAAATTGTCTGTGAGAGTTCACAAAACCTAACCAGGTTCTTGTTGCGTAGAGAAACAGCTGCCACACCCAGCACATTCACAAAATCATAGGGAACACACAAGACAAATAAGGTTATCGTGATTCTGGTCACCAGTCTAGTTGTCCGAGTGTGGTTGAAGAAGGCTCCCTGATTCACCTTCTTGTGTAGGCGAATATATGAAAATGCCACAGTGGACAGACACACAAATTCCATCAGAATCTCTGTCAGCATCACAGCCAACTTCTGGGCATCAGAAACGTATTGAAGAGAGCAACGTGTCCGTTTCCTGTCATGATCTGTGGTCAGCTGTCGAACGACCGAGGCAGGTGTTGAGAGCACCAATGCGACCAGCCAGATCAGAGCCAGTAGCTTTCTCGTTCCTACTTTACTCAACCACCTCTGCTGGTGCACCACCAGCAGGTAGCGGTGGACGCTCAGCACGGTCACTGTCAGCTGTCTGCTGCAAATGCCGATGTAACCAAAGCATGCTAAGAGCTTACAGGCCACAAGGCCAAAGATCCAGTTGGAGAGCCAAGAGTAAATCCACACGGGAAGGGTCAGCAGACAGAGCAGGTCTGATATGACCAGATTCAGCATCAAACTCTGGCTCAGACTGCAGAGATGCTCCCAGTTGGGCTTGAGAATGATCACTGCAATGTTTCCAGGAACTCCCAGCAGGAAGCAGAGCGACAGCATCCCTGCAACAATCGGACCTCTGAAATCCCTGGAAGGAGGAGAGATGGGTGCTGAAGAGTTGTAGATTGTAAAGGAGACCATTGTGGAGTTGAGATCTGCCATGCTGCCGAGTTGCTCAGAAGGCTGTGCAGTGAGCAAGTGATGGTGGCAAATATGTGGTGTGTGAGGAGAGTGAAAAGGAAATTAGAGGCTTTTCTTTAAAGTACTGAATGAGGCAGTAGGTACGGAAACAGTGACAGTCATACAAAGAAAACTGATACCCAAAAAATAAGAAGTTAAATGTTTCAGGCCCTCTTTATCTGTCTGTTGAGCGTGTAAGGAGTCAATAACAAAAGCACATATAGCCTCCTTATGGAGCTCATAACTTAAAAGCCAGCTTGAATGGTGATACTTCTCACTAAATCATTAAATCACTCACAAAGTCTCAAGCTTACCTGAGAGCAACATAATGGTTCTAGTTAATGATGGAGAGATGAAGCCTTCAAAAGGTGGGTTGGTAGCTCACATTCTGTTTCTATCTACAAGTAGACAGCATTTTTATAGAATTTTGTTTTACAAATTTTGTTTGCTATTCACCTTTATCCTCAATCCTATTTTTAAATTAATAAAATAGTTGGAAATAAAAAAAGGAAAGCCAAGCTTACAAAACCAGACAAAGTGTGAGGGATTAACCACAAGGATAATTTTGATCAGTGTATTTGTCTTTTATTGCATCTCATTTGGACTCACATGCAGGTTGGAAGGGAGAATGATGCCATCCATTATGACAAAAATAAAAGAAAAAAATAGCCCTCATACGAACACTTTGCAAACATTACTTATCCACATTTTTAAGAGTCATATTCATCTTTATTTTTCTTTCAACACATTTTTAATGCCACAATGGATTAAGATACAGCCACTTTTCAGAAATAAATAACACAGAAAAACATCCAGCTTACACATGAGTGCTTTACAGTGAGTCCATAAGACTTCTGGGACAGCACATAAACAGACACACTGACCACTGCTGCATCAGAAATGACTCAAAAAGAGCTGAGGCCCCATTCCAAACACACACACACTCACACACAAACACACATACATGTTCACTTCATTGTCCCTCCCGTCTACTCCTCTTGCATTGAGACCGAGACAAATAAAGGAGATTCTTTGAGAGAATCAAAATGCATCCCAGATTAGATCAACCCATGTTGTGTGCTAAAATGCATAATCACTCCACAACAGCAAGGGGCACAACAGAATACTCTGTGGGCAACTCTTCCATTCAAATCCTTCTATCATTTTTGACAGATATGTACAAAGAAAGTGGATGAAATTACGGCTCCTTGCCTTTTTATTCTAAAGTAACTAAAATATATAATACATTGTGTTTTTCAGAATGAAGTTTAAGGAAAATATGTATATTCTTGGATACTCCAAAATGCATATGTCAATTGGAACACAGGACACATTTTTTGCATGATTAATTTCGCCCCTATAAAAAACAAACAAACAACAAAATAAACAAACACAAAGTAAAACTGACTACTGTGTGATGGGTTAGGGTTGGGGCTCAATGATAAGTTAACATTTCCAGTGTGGGTTGGAATATGGTCCCTTTTGATGAATTATTTTTCAACGGTTGGGTTATGAATAGCCACTCAGACATGGGTACAACCAAATCTTAGATGACATTAAACACAGCTCAGTGTTAGTTTGGACTTGAGGTGAGGAGGAGTGAATTCACACCGAACACAGAGTCCACATTTAACAACACGATCTTCGTCTGGGAGATGCGCATAGAAACCAACAGAAATCCACCATTCCAAGTCAGCTGATATGCTGAAATCCAAAACGAATCTAAATATCCATTAGCTGATTTTTTTTTTGTATTTATTCATTTTTGTATATTAAGTAAAGATTAACACTGAATTACACACACACCCAAACACACTTAAACGGAATTCTTGTTTTCTGTATCTAGGGTTCACATTCACAGTTGTGCTACAACATTAGATAAGGAGGACATTTTTTTACATTTTTTTTCATGAATTGAGGATAGTAGGAGGTTAGAGGGCAAAGATCAAAGAGATGATGGCTGGTTGGCTGAGGGGGTGAGGGGGAGTGCAGACATCCATATCCACTGAGCTCCAGACACAAAGACAAACCTGCAGTGGAGATAGAGGGATGAATAACAGCTGGAACATTCTCCCAGGAAAAAGTGATGAGAGTGAGTCTAATCATGAGTGAATGAGTGGTTTCCAAACTTGTCATGCAGCCAGACTTTCAGAGCACTTCTCTTCCTGCTTTGCTATCAAACATGTTGCCACTTACACAGCTAAATCACACTCTTCTTTTGGAGATGAGTAGGGCACAGAGGACCAATTAGCTTCAAATCTGTTTTTTTCCTTTTTTTACCAAGTTGGTAAAGTCCAGACTTATTAAGCTAGCGTTCTTATTTATCCATAAGCTAATCTTACAGCTTCCTAAATTCCAGCTTAACTTTGAGGTGTATCTACAAGATCTAAAATATTGACACTGACTGGAAACTCTTGTTTTTCATAAGCAATTTCGTTAAGGGTGTGCAAAAGGATGGCAACGTACTGGCTGTGAGTTCCATTGAGCTACATCGGCTGTCAGTTATAAAGAAACAGAAAATGTACCTTGGGTTTAATAGGTCAGGCAGTCTACATGAAGTCTTTAATATTTAGGTCATCCAGAGCATTCCGGGGTGGTGGGGGCTTTCTGGGGCTCTGGGCCATTCCAGGAGACATCTGCAGACACATTTTTTTTCGTTATGATTATCTTTTCCAGTCTATGAAATTGTTGAGGATGTATTTAATCCCCTTTGGAACATTACCGGTGCCCCTGGGGTCACTCCGGGGGAAGAGAATCCTGGTCTGGTCATCGGCATCATGGGTGCTCCGCCACCTGGCGCCCCAGCCTTTCATAGAGAAAAGTGAAGGCAAGGAAACACATTAACGCAAAATGTCTGCCATCTGATGGTTGTGTAAGGGGCACCTAAAGGGCAGATTGTCCGTCAATAACCAGTAATGTCCAAGCTGAACATTACTGGACTGGACTTGAGTGGTCATCTTACCATAGTGAAGCTAGGGTGAGTCCCCATAAAAGGAGTGACACCCATGGGTATGGTCTAAACGTGTGGAGGGGAGGGGATGGAAAGGAGGAGTTGGGATATTACTGTACTACATACAACACAAACAAAGGTGCACAATGTATTCACGATTTGTAGTTGAACACAAAAGTGATGGTAAAGACAAACAAAACCTTACAAAATATATATATAGACACGAGACAAAGGAAACCCTGACTTTGAGTCTGGAGTGATATTCTTAATGCATGCAAAAAAACTTAAAGGGCAGGAAGGAAGCTTGCAGCCTTTAGATAGAAGTGTCAAATCCGTTGTTGCCAAAAAATGCACTTGCATAGGCATGAACACTTGGCTTCTCTGAACTCTGTCAAGTCTGAAGGAGGATGGACTTCAAGAAAAAAGTGCCAGCAACAACCTCCAATTCGGCAATATCCTACCATTTGCCACTTCACCACTCTCTACTAGAGATTCCAGATATTTAACCCAAACATTTGTGCTTTGTGTCACATTTGTGTCACATTCTCTGAGTTTGTTGGTGACATGATTACACCTGGAACCTGGAGAGCCCAGTGAAGGCACTGTTTCGAGATTGCTGCTACAGGTATGCTCTTTCTGCCATGCAGCTCCACTCCATGCTATAAGACACAGACAACATTTACCATGGGAGCACCCCAACAGGGGGGAGCTACCTGAGGAGCGGCTGGAGTTCCCATTGTCAGGTCTTAGAAAAATAAAGAGAAAGAAAAACAGTTACTTCATTAGCATTTTTCTGAATACTAAAATGCATGACATTATGAAGACATAGTTAACCCCCCAAAAAGCCAGTACAAGATAGTGATTTGCTTTGTTTTCATTGGTTTACAACACTTCTTTTGGATGCTTTATTGTATTTTTGTTTCTGTTTGTCAGCTTACTATGAGGTTGTCATCTGTGTGTACAGGCCATGGCCTCTACATTCACAATCTAATCAAATCTTCATTTGAAATCTCTGGCCTTACATGAATGACACAGGTGGCTTATAAAAAGCAAAACACTACCAAATATAAGACAGTCACTCTTAGTATGGTCCGTCTTCTTTTTCCCATATTCTAACTCTATCTTTTCCTTCTCCACTAGATTTGTTGTCCTCTTGTTCTTTTTTTTCTATCCAAAAAGACCAAATGAATAAGGCAAAATAGGCTGTAAACTGATGTAATGGGAAAGCATTACTTCTAAGATCTCACCCCCCATGCCAGCATACAACACCAAGTGATACACTGTCACATGTTCCACACTTTATTGAATAGTGCAACATTTAGGAAATGTACTTTCTTGTATGAACAGTTGATGTAAAGTGTAAATTATAACTCTGGACTTAGCTAAAGCTTTTTTAATGTTCTTCAAGCCCACAAGCCATTGTAACATTAAATGCTAACTCTTTTTTATCGTTCTGGCACACCATCAGCATTGATTAGAACAGTGAGTGTATGAGGGTATGTATGTATGTGTTTAATTCTCTACACCTGATCCCCAAAAGTTGAAATAGTTCCTTAAAGTCGGTATTTATCAGCAATTACTTACTACTGGCCATGTTAGCCATGGATGTGTCAACATCACCCGCTTGAGGGGTCACAGTTGGCATCATTACATCTCCTAGGCCATCAAATACTACAGCAGAGAGGGGGTAGATTAAATGAAAGGATGGGAAGGAAAAGGGAGGGAGATGTTAGACTCCTTCTGTGTGAGCTATTCTCACACTCTACCACAACTCAGCCGTGGGCCTCCTTACTACTGGGGATAACCATGACAACCAATGTGTGTCTCCATGACAACAGAGAGAAGAGTAAAAGCAATGTAACATCAATTAATTTTTCTAAGGATTATCAATACCAAATATTGAGATAATTACTTCTATTAAACTCATACAAGGACAAATGGTCCTTTTTTGTTTTTTCTCATACTCTTAAATAAGTATTCAATACTGTAATTGTTGCACGGGACACCTGAAAGGATAATTTGATATTTTGGGAATGGAAAGAAGATTGTTATATCATCATTATGTTTTAGGAATACATTAAAATACCAACAAAAAGATTTAACATCAAGTCAAGAAAACACTTATAGTGGTAAAAAAAAGAAGGCTTTAAATGTTTTAATAAATTATTTGTGGTTGCCACTGAGATGGAGATGAGGGCAAAAGCATGGCAACTAAATGAATGCAGGCTAGGCTATGGAAGCATTAAATAATGGCATTATTTTGTAACCATCAAGCATCTGTCAGTGGAGGGGACGGTGCAGCTGCACTCGCATTGCACCACTGCAATGCAGTGCACTGTGGGAAATTAGCGTGTTAAAGAGCAGGGAAACTCACCCAATCAAATGGCGGGAAGCAAGAAATGAGCCAGCCCAAGAGCCAGATGGAGAAAGACAGCAGGGAAGATTGAAGTAGAGAAAAAGTGGATAGCAAAAAAGCCCATGTGCCAGAGAGAGAGAGAGAGAAAAATTGCAATGAGGTTTAAAAGGAGTGGCTGACAAAAATAGACCATCAGAGGTTATTGTAAGAAGAAAAAGAGAGGAAAAGAGAGAGAGTTAAGCTTTAAAGCACAGCTGCTGCTGACTATCAATAATAAGATGTGAATGTAGTGGTGCAGAAGAAAATGACCAGGTGAGCAGAGGCCCGTGTTGTCATGGTAACAGTAACTGTAGTTACCAGTTGTACAGTTGTGCATAGTGGAAAACCTTTTCCAGGGACAGATGAAAGTAAATAAATTGTGTGATAAAATAAGGACATCGAATCGACCTTCTTACGGACATAGTTAAAATTACTAAAAAACCTAAAAACTAAGAAGATATCTCAAAACAGATGTAAATATAATCTAAAAGCAGATCAGTTCATTAACCATTATCAAAGTTAATAGAAACAGTGACTGATTATTTATCACAATGCAAATAATTTTGTAACATACTGACAAAGACTTTAAAAGGACTATATCAGTACAATGTTCAACAATATGTTAGAGTCTTGGTAGACCAAAGTCAAAGTATCATGCAGTCATGAGATGAATACTGATTACCCATATTGAAAAATTATGAGCCAATGGGCCTCTGAGCATCGATTCACAGTATAAATCAATCCAATCTTTTTCATCAATAAGCAGGTGAATACAAAGCAAAGGTGCAGCTGATATTTGAAATGATATTAGCTAAACCCTGTTTCGTTGACTCGCTTTACTACTTAATCAACATCTGGGTGAGAGCATTCAAATTTTCAGTCAGTAAGATAAGGTAAAGCTGTGAAACGTCTTCAACATGTTGTCACTCTGCGGTAAACATGCACATGCACATTTGAAGACGTACCTGACATCAGCTCGGCGCCAGGGGCGGGGGCAGCGGCAGCTGGAGCGTCTCCTCCTGCAGACTCTGTGATAGGTCAACCAAAACAAGACCAAACCATTCCATGCCAGGTCAGATGAGGTTGAGCCATTTCCATCGCAGCATAGGGGCAAAGAATGGTAAGAATCAGCCTTCGCCTTCAACACTGACAACCCCAAACAAAAGGTTTAGAGTTAGAAACAAAGGCTGAAAAAGCAAAAACATGATGTCAACAATTATATCATCAAGTGTAACAGGAAACATGTCCTTTTTGGATTCCAAACACTCATTCACACAGATAGAACACACATGCGTATCTTAATGTTTTCCTCAGTTTTTACATATCAAAGCTTACTCACACACACCTGCTCGTTTTAGGTCAAATCTATGCTCATAGTTGTTTTCCCTACATTAGCACAAATCATTCCCAAATTCTACCACTGCAATCCAATCAAAAACAGCTATATGTACTTATCTTAGACAAGAAAAACAAACCAGATATTACTTTATGTTGACGAATAATTTAAATGTTTCAGTGGGACCACGCTTCTTATATTCTGCTTGTAACACTTTTAAAAATAGGCACAGTAACATGGTCCTTAAACCAAACAGGAACACACACCAGAAGTTATGTCCACAGAGCTAAAACTCAATGGTTTTAGTTTGAATGCCAGCTGTTTCATTTAAAATCCTTCTCTTGGTATATTCATGAACCAGTGAGGCAGAGTAAGGGCAGGCAGTCGTACGAGTTACCCACCACCAAACAGGCTCATGATGGCTCCTGTGTCAATTTTGGGTGGGGGTGCTGAGGAGAGGATGGGGGCAGGGGAGCTGAAGGCATCGGCTGGAGGAGGCAAGGTGAATATGATGTTTAGATCCCTAACATACACTTTAGCAAACACACTAAATCTGTTGGTTCATTATAACGAGGCATTGATTACAGTTGCAGTGCACGCAGTTCATGCTGGAAGCGGAAAGGAAGTAAGAATCATTTAGTAAACATTTCAGACAGCTCAGCGGCTTTTGGCTGACTGAGAAAAGAAAGCAATTTCATCTCCTTTTTCAGCTCCATGATTAAAGCCAAGGGTTCAGCAAAAAGGCAGACACAACAAGCGGGGATAGGACCGTCGGAGTGAGCGCAGAAAGGGTACCTGCTGAAAACAGGTCAGCACCGGGGGAGGGGTCGGCTCTGGAGAGGCTCGGTTCTGGCATGGAGTCAAAGATATCTACGAACACGTGCACACCCCAAAAAAAAAGGGTCTGAAAAAATTTCTCAAAATGCTGAGGAGGCTCAAACACAGAGAACATTGCAAATGTGTGACACAAGAAAGCAATGAAAAGGGGTTGAGAAAAAGAGAGGATGACAAGCAAAGTCCGATGAGGGAGCAGGGGAGTCGGTACGATGAGGACAGGGAGGAATGTGGAGCCACACACATCTCTATTGTTTACCGCTGAAAAGGTCAGTTCCAGGCCCGGTGGCATCTGAGGCTGAAATGGTGGCAGTGGTGGTGATGGTGTTGGATGAGGAGGTGAAGAGGGGGGAAGGGGAGGGGGAGGGCTGGGGCACCACAGAGCTAAAGCAGGCGTCCAGGGAGCTATTACTGTCCACCGTCATCATCCCGAAAAGATCTACACCTGAAGGCGCTGCGGTGGTACTACCGTCTGAGGGTGCAAAAGGGTCTTTAGGGAAGAAGTGGGGTGGGGAGGGGTGGAAAGAAACATGACACATGGAAAGGGAGGGGAATGTTAGACAATGACATTACAACACAGCAGATGACTGAATTTAGTTTGAGATCATTTCTGAAATCAAATCACTATTCATTGAGCAGGAGTCACTCCACCATTATTTTCTACAGAACTTTCATCAACTTACTTTTTGCTTAACATTTTCACAGCACTGTGCTGCATTTCATAAAGGGGTGCTGAAAGCCATGAAAGGAGGAGAGGGTATTGAAAAACCTTTTGAGAGGAATTATGGGAAAAGATGTAGAGCTGCCAGCTGAAAGATTTACAGCTAAAAATAGCATCTGCGATGGAAAAAAACAACTGGGCTACGCGAACGCCTTCACAGCTCAAAAACCTTTGGAAGTAAACACAGAAAAACTCTAAAAACAGAATGATTACAGTTAAAGAGAAATCCCGTATCACCCCTCCCATAGAGGCAAAGTTTTGTTCTAGGCTCCAAGGTAACACCAATAGTGCTTCCAAAGGGAAGCGGAAATTAAATGTGACTCTTGTCAAAACTCAACAACTCTAGGTCAGGAGTGTCCAACTCCTGTCCTCAAGAACCCCTGTAATGTAACACACACCTGATTCTGATGAAATGGATATATTCAAAGGCTGTGCACGAAGTCTGCATGAGGCACATTGACTTGAATCAGGTTTGTTGAGGCAGGGAAACCTTTAAAACCTGCAGAAGAACTGGAGCTGGACACCCCTGATCTAGATGATACTAACTTGTTTTGAAACCAACAGCCCCGCTCTTCTTCACAACCATGACACTCAAAAGAGTAGGTCGATAAAGAACTGAAGCTTAAAACACTCATATTTCCATTTAGGTTTTGCTTTTCAGACTTGTTGGAATAAAAGTACCAGCAACTAAAATAGGAAAGGCTCCTCTTTTTGGCAGCAAACAAACTCTCCCCATCTATAGTGAATGTGAAACCAGACTGCGTGCAGCCTGCTTCAGAGATGAGCCAAGCCCTCAGGCCAGTGGAAGAAATTGGCCGATCTTTTCCACAGAAACCATAAAGCTGAGAAGGAAACATACCAGCGTGTGCGATGGTCGCAAAAAGGAAACACATGAGGGAACTGTGTCAGCGCTCAAAGAACATGGTTAAGCAGGAAAACCACCATCTTTTCTCAGCCCTAAAAGGTTTTGGTGCCTCGACCTGACCGAAGACATATAAGGACATTTTTAAGAATAGTGATGTGTTTTTACCAGCAATCTGACTTTGTGGGTTTAACTTCGATAAATGCCCCTGTGGCAATCACACTCACTCCCACTCGCACTCGTACTCGCACGCTCAGGTTTTCAGTCACCCACCAGCTCCGGCATTGGTGGCTGTGGTGGTGGTAGCAGCAGCCCCACCCTCACTTGTTGCAGCAGAGGCCTCAGTGGCAGGAACAGGTGTTGCAAAGGCATCTGAAGTTCCCATAAACCCCAGGATGGAAACGCCAAGAGAGAGAGATGAAGGATATAAGGACCAGAAAAGAGAAGAAGAAGTTACGAAATACCAGGAGGTTAAAAAGAATATCCGGGAAACGAAGGTAAAATCAAAATTATGTGAGCATCAAAAATCAATCAGCACTTTTGATTTCGTATGCAAGTGTGAAAAAAGCGGCATTATGAGACACAGACGAGTGACGGGTGAATGGATAAATGGGTACAGACAGGAGGCACTAAAGCAAGGATTGTTCTACTGCACAAAGAGCAAAATAAGCCAGCAGTCTACACATGTTACAGCTGCCATCTGTAGCTGTATCCACGGGAGAGGTTTGATAGAATTGCTTTTCACCGAGGTCAAAGAAAAGCATCTCGAACTATCAAACAAGACGCATGTGGGAAATGAGCGTAGCAGTGTGCCAGCAGAATGGTGAGTGTGCAGTGTGTTGACAACTAACAGAGTTGAGAGCAAGTAAAAGACAGGTTAAGTTAAGAAGTAAGTCCCAAACTGGTAGATTGGGGAATCATTGATCTATTGTCAAAGACACTGTTTGGTACCATCACCGAAAGTTATATTCGGCCATTCTCACTTTAAATTAAAAAATATTCTAAGTTCTTTATTATTGTCACTGTGTTTTGTCTTTAATGAAAATTACTGATTTGAAATCATGATTTGCCATTTCCAGTCGTAGTCATTTGCAGGTTTTTTGGGGGCAGGCCACATTGTTGTGTGCACTGCCAGCCTGCCAGTATCCACCAAAGGAAAGGCACCTCCAGGGCTATTTTTGCGCACGGTTACCTTTGATCTCAAAATGTTACTTTGATGACACCGATGCACAGTTACCACCCTCTCAACTTTCAACCAATCCCAAGCCTTAAAACTCATTTTTAGCACCCAGGCTAAACAAATGAACAGAATAGAAACCAGCATGCCGATGTCAGCTGCTGTTGCCATTGTTGATGTTGTTTTGTCTTTTGCAATATATTTTCTGTTATTTTGGGGTTTAAATCATCTGCAAACCATCGCATGCTATCTTGCTGACATTGTTCCCCAGTCATTTGAATTTGGCCGTTATAATTTTTTCTGCAACAGCTGAAAATGAGGGGTACTTGCATCAGTGCAGTAAGAGGCAACCATTTCTGATGATTGCTTGTAGGAAACAAACAATATCTGTGCCGTCTACAGACTAGATGTGTTTCAGCATGCATTTGAGTGTCATCGTGTGTGATGGGTTTCAGGGCTTGAGCTTCTCAGACCGATTCCCTTGGAAAGAATTTTCTGGAAGCCCACTGACCTCCCAGCAGATCCATATTGGCGGTGCCTGGGGAAGTGGCGGCGGCTGTACTAGTGGGAGGAGCTAGAGGGACTCCAGGTTCTGCGGCTGCAGGAGTGGGTGTTGCTGCTGCAGGGGAGGGGGTGGGCTCTGCAGTGAGGGTGGGTTCGGATAGCAAGGAATCGCCCATTTCTGCCATTCGGATGTTTAAAATTCCCAAAGAAAGGCCGAAAAATAAACCACAGGGGAGGAACCAAAGTAACCAGAGGAGTCACCCATGTGACAGTGAGGAACAAAAGCCAAAGAAAAAAGGTTCAGTCAAATGAAAACCATGTTGGTTGTTTCAAATGTTTGGACAAAAAACGAAACCAGATTGTGCACAAATTAAAGTCGCGAAAAGGATCCAACGCCGCCAGTTTACAATCAATAAGGAAAACAATAACCAACAAAAAAGCCCCCATTATAAATCAAAAACGTACAATGAATATGTGGAGGAGGGAGGGGGAGAAGGCAGAGAAAAACAAAGACAATACTCAGACTAAAGAGAACAGCTCGAGGAGACAAAAAGGGAGATAACCATGTGACATTAATACACTACAGTCTAGTTCTATGTTCAATATGAATAAAACACAGACAGCTGGGTCACTTCAATTTTAGGTTCATATTTGCCAGGAAGGGAAGTTAGAAACATTAGTAGAAGGTGGAAGATTATTTGAGGAAGCTCTACTCTGGATCAGAGCCTACCAGTGATGTGGGAGGGGGGAAGTGCCACTCACCTGATCCAAGAAGATCTACGGAGGCAAAAAAAGGAGATCGAGGACAAAAAAACAGTTGTTTAACACATGTCATCTGTTCAGTCTCCTGTAAAACGATCACTTCCTATTCACAAGATCAAGTAGAGAACTTGTGCCTGGTACTCTATTGGTTTACAATATATGCCATAAAATGCTAGTAAGAGGTTTAAGGAGGCACTCACCTCCCCAAGATGTCGGAGCAGCTGATGCTGCTGTGGGACCAGTGGAGGACAGTGGATCCAGGTCCAACAGAGAGCTAGAGAGTAGCAACAGCCACCATCATTTGAGGTATTTGTTCACTATTTTCATTTGCTCGGAAAAAGCCTAAATTTCAGTGCAATTGAGTAAGGATTCAAACAGACATATATAAGTAAAGGCATGTTCTTAAGACCAAATTAATGTGTGCCACCAGTGCTCTCTTTCTAAGCATAAAATAAGGTCAGGATTTATCCTCTGTATTTGTCGTGTCCCTTTTTGCTTGTTGTCTCTTTTTTATTATTTGTTTAAGATGTCATGTTAATTGTCTTGATGTAGTTTTAGTCTTGAAGTCCTTTTTTCAGTTTTGAGTTTATCTTCTATGTTATTCAGTCTTAGTTTTGTATTTCTTAGTTATTTCTAGTTTTATCCTGTTCTTCTTTTTGTTCTCTGTCTAGGTTGTAGTTTGCTCTATTTAGGGGATTGTTTGGCTTCTCTATTTTCTTAATCTTAAAGGTAATTTTCCTGTTGCTTCCTCTTTTGGTTCCCCCTTATTACACATGCCCTCTCAATTAGTCGATTATGTCTTGTTACTATTTTGTCTCCTGAATTTTCCAGATCAGTTGCCAGTTCCCTGTTAATTTAATCTATGGCTTTCAGTCTGATTCCGTCCACGGGATTTTTGGATTGAGTTCATTCTGAGTTCACTGGAGTTTCATGCTGAGCAGCACTTTCTCTTAGTGAGTTCCCTTAAGACCTGCTGTTTTCCAGAGGTCTGTGTCTGGCAGTTCCGCATTTACATTATAAACAAGAAGACCGTAAACAATAAAAACTCATTGCAGTTATGGAAATTCAACAAGGTAACAACAACTAAGTGAAATGAGACAAATGAAAAAACACAAATGAACAGAACAGCTGTCACTACAACAGATTGATACTACTTGATTTATGTGATCAAAAGAATTCAGGATGACAGGATTATCACCTTATCCATAAAAATCAAATAATATATCAACAAAATTTTACATAATAAAGTAATATTGATGTCAGAAACTCATTTGTTACTGTAGTACAGAAGAAAATATGGTGTATACTTTTAAAAAATAAGTAATCTCTTGGTTTTAATGTCCTTTCAGGTTTGTTCATATGATACTTACAAGCCTAAACAATCCTCAACTCCTCAAACTCTATATAGAGGTAATCCATGGCAATCTTTAGCCTTGAACAGGGTCTTAAATAGTCACACAGCAAAGAAATAGTAAGAAGCACAAACGTACTCTTCAGCGGGTTCTGGAGCAGCTGGGCCGGCGGCCCCGGCAGCTCCGTCTCCAGGAGGAGGCTGCAGCGCGGGGACAGCGTTTGAAGATTTGGCAGGAGTTGATGTTGGGGAGACATTGTTTGTTGGAGACCCCTAAAGGACAGAGACAGAGAACCTTGTTTGGTGCTGCCTCAGACAGGTGGAACTCCATGAGAATAAAGTCAGTGTATGTTCGTCTTACCTTTGTTGGAGACCTGAAAGTGGAAGAAAAGAAGAGTTTAAGTGACTGCAATAATCAGCTCTCCGGTTTGATGGGGTATTGCTTTTTTGCTCAGGTGATCACACAAATATCAAATATTCTGTGGTTTGCATCATATGTGATCACGTGAAGGGTTGCTTTCCAAACTGACAGAGAGTGCATTAATTCGAACGCATCGTGTGGAAAAAAGATAATGGCACAATTCAAAAAAGATTGGACAAATGCATGACTGCATGATTTCACTTGAGGGGGGGAAAAAAACCCTTCATGTACTGATTCACATCGCACATGACAATACACATGTGGCTCACTGTTTCTCCACACGTGTTCCTTTCAAACGTCACACATGAAACCACAACCAAACACACATTTCCACATGTGAATCGAGCTAGATGTGACGCATGGTTTGCAGTATGTGCACCTGATTCACATGTGAGTAATGTGTAAATTCCTACTCTGGAGTGGGTCGGGGTGACAACAAGCACATCTACATAGTTTTCTATGCAGTCAATAAACTAAAATCCAAAGTTTACAATGTATGCTCACCCTTCACTGTTGTTCCCAAATCAACATAGAGGAGAATAGAAAAGAGGAGGGGGTTAAGGTAAACGATAGACGTATGTGTTTTCACAAACCTTTCTGGTGGTTCCTAAAAAGTTCCTTATTGTTGAAGTGGACCTTTATATGTGTGAGTTGGACAAACTATAACAATGATCCCCTGCAAACACATGTAACGCTGAAGATGGTGCTGAGTGAGGCAATGCTTGTTCTGGCATTTTGCTACTGCCCTGCCACTTGTTATTCCTTTAATATGATAATATGATATATCAATATTTTTTATCAATTCAAGGAACTACTAGTTTCTACAAGTAGGTGGAAGTAAAAGTACAAAGTAGTGAAGGTTGGAATAAAATAACATTTGTAAGGATTTGTTGCCATTAAACAACTGAAAACAGTTATTAACTATGCTTTGACCAACAAAACAAATGTTCCTCTTGCAGATTTTCTCAGAATAAGATACTAGCAAGGCAAATCTTTTACTATGTGAGATTAATAATTGTTTTATCATAAGGGGGGAGAATCATTATGACAGAAGAGGGAGGAGGAAAGAGGAGTTATAGATGTTGGCTTAATTTGCTTTGTTTTTGTTTGTTTTTGTAATACCATTTTTTTCTCTTTTATGTATGATCTTACCCCTTCTTTCCACCTCCTTTCACATCTTCCAAACCGTTCATGTGTGTTTCCAGAGACTCCAGGATACTGCTGGGGGCCTGTCAAAAATAAAGAAATACATTCTTAACAAAATTGAAACTGAGAGTTATCGAGAAAGAATTCTTTCAGCAGAAAGAAAGATGAATATATTTCTTATACAAGAGGAAAGAGTATGACAATGCTTTGTAAATCTCACAGCAGCGTGCGCATGCATGTACGGGCGAACGAACCGCAGTGTGTGCTTTGTGAAATTAAACTATAAGACATCAACACTTCATCCTGCAGTTAAACAGGCACACAGCCAGGGCACCCTTCGTTTCTGTGGTTACCGAGTCCTCAAGGGGCTTAAAAGGACAGTCTTCGTCATCTGAGTCAGCGAGATCCACCACAACCCCCGGGTGGAGACACTGACAGAGGAGACGGTGTTGGGTGAGATAGGGGCTTGTGTGTGAGTGTGTGTGGAGGGACATATGCATTGCAGTCACTGATTGATTTATGCTGCTCGCATTCCTGGTTGCAATTCTTCCAAGGAAAAATAAAAAGGAATATGGTCATACTTACATAGTTAATGTCAGGAATGTCATTTTTCTCAACTCCAACTGTCTGTTGAAGTAAAGAGAAAAAAAAACTGAGTTTCTTCAAACAGCAGATGCAAATAGAGCTTGGCCGTGACCGACAATGTGTAGTCAGATATTTTATCCCTACCTCTGCCAGCTTCATGAATTCACCGATTTTTGTCACCCTTGTCAGGAACCGTTTGTAAATCTCCAAGGCCTCCTTACATTCACTTTTTTTCATCTTGAAGAATTTCTCTGAGGACAAAAAGAAGATTTTAAAACTTACAGGCACACCTCTTTGTCGTCGTCTTTATTTACACTCCTCAGCACTACAGACCTAATAGGTTGATGATTCCATCGTTGTAAGAGGCAAACAGCTTGACCAGGTCCTTGAAGAGCAGCAGGAATGCAGCATTGATGATCCCGTTGTTCAGCTCCTTGGGGTGAACCTGACAAGAGGCGGCACAGCACATTGAGCTTTTTTGATCATCAGGATGAAAACTTTGGAGAAAAAGGCTGCAAGTGAATCCAACTGAAAACATACATCAAACTCCAGGAGTGTGTCGATCTGAGTCTGCAGAACAGGCATGCCTTTCAGCAGCTTCTCAGTGGTCATGGTTCTCATCACTCCCTCCGCGCTGCAAGCATAAACACAAGTATTTTAAATTGAAGACCAGAAGGGACGAGTACAATAAAACTGACTGTGATCTTAAATCAGTGTGTCTTCAAATGAAAACTGCGTTAAGAAGTAGTTGAGAGTAACTTTTGATATCAACAAACCCTTTCTTGACTCTGGTGAAGTCAAAAGCCATCTGGCGGTAGGCGAAGGCTTTTTCATTCAGGTACCGTCCATACCGCCTGATGAATGTGGACATGTCATAGCCTAAGCAGATGGAAATAAAACAATAAGAACCCAGAGGGGAGGTCAAAAGGAATATTCTAAGAACCATTTAATGATAACAAATCTCATGTAAAAAGGCAATCAAAGCAGAGGTCTGCTTTTGGGCAGAACCTTCCTGTTTTGTATCTTTTTGCTATATGATGTAAAAAACACAAATACACACGAAATGTCTTACCATGAGAGCCAGTTTTGTCAATGAAGTTGCTGAGGTTGAACAGGGAGGTTCTGGAAGCCAGGTACTGAATGAACCTCTGAGAAAGAAAATACAATTAGCACGTCCCCTCAAGTAAAGATGAACAGTTTGTGCAAATTCCAACAACTGGAACTTATTTCTTGCGGTTTTTACTCCTGTTTGAGCACCAGAGTTCTAAACTTCTTTTTATCAACAAAACATCAGACTTCACACATGAAAGTAACCACAATCAGGCTTCAAAAGTAATTTACGCTCTCTGCGTTGGTGCTTCATTCATTACAGAATCAAACTGGGTGAAATCTAACACAGTTCTAGGAAGACTGAGTCCAATAAGTTTTCAAGCCTCCTATGAATGGACACCAAAAAATCCACCGGTCCCCTCCAGCTCAGTCTGTATGGTGCTAACCGACCTCATTGCCGTGGACACACATGTGATGAGTGGTGACGAGAGCCTTGAAGACGACCACCCAGCTGGCATTGGTGGCTCGCTCAAACAGCGTGTCGGCCATCTGAGGAATGTTCACGTTGGTGGTGTTGGTGGCCGACACCAGGTCTGCAACACAGCCACAAAAATACGAAACCACTTCAATTAAATATCATCTAACACTAATCAGATAGCGTACATTAAAAGGGGAAGTCATGTTTAACTTGTCTTTATGAGAATGTTTTCATTTTAGCTGCTTTGATGAAACTGCTCTGATAAAAATATGATGAAGCGGGGAGGCTAAGTGCTCACTGCAGAGCTGCTCCAGACACCCACGAGAATATTAAGCCGGCAAGAAGACTCGACACACATACAACATAATGTCAGTGCTGAACCCACACACACATCCCGGCTACTGTTGCAGACAAAGACAGTAAGATGCTGTGTCATCTCTTCCAGATATTGTCCCGTTTCTGCTTGTCACTGAGACAGAGAGCTCTCTCAAAAGGAAGGGTTTGTAGCACTAAAGAACCGCAACATGGAATGCAAAACATACAAATGAAGGAGGGGGTGTGCAAATGTCATTTCTAGTTTTATTTTATTTGATTTTAATGACATGGAATGGAATCCAAACTCTTATGCAGACAGACTTGAAGTCAAACATATTAAACAGCTGTCTATTTTAGTGTGCCTTTCCTTAAGTGGTATCTACACAACTGTTTTCATGATTTTGTAAGGCTGCAACAAGTTTTTTTTAAGGTGACAGTAAACATTTCAGAGCAAGATCCACACATCGAACCTCACAGGTTTGTAATTGAAATCACAGGAAAGGTCAAGTTCAAGAAGCACTGTGTTCCTGACTGAGTAGGAAAACAAGGAAGTATAGGAGCAATGGGGAAGGTTTTAAAAAAAAAAATATATATATATATATAATTCTACTCTAAATAACAAAACAGAAATAGAAAAAACTTGGGAATGAAAATTAAATAGATCAATCCTTTTCTTATTATTATTCTATAATTGCAGTTCACAGAAATGATTAATCGGTTACCAAGGAGTGTGGTCTCCTCAAATGCAGTCTGATGACAAGAATTACTCTACTGGAATAACTGCAGGTAACAGGAATGTTAAGGGACGACCAAATATTCCTCCACTGCTTGCATTCTGCTACTCGAATAGGTCTGACAACATTCGCCAGCCAATGGAAAGGTCATTGCTCCCTCATTCTGCACAACACATTCTGGGAAAGTCCCTACATTTTTAATCTAGTCTTTCATATCACAGCATGTTTATCTCAAACATCAAACACATTAATAAAAAAAACACTCTGTCTGAGACCTTGATTAGTTCTTTAGTTTCCACTCACTGTTTTCTTTGGTATAGGTAACTAGAAATCAACACGTCTCTTTTAATGTTCCTTAACAACAACTTCTAAGAAATGTCTTTTTACATTGGTGATGCACACACTCATATTTTATCTCTACCTATGTGATATGAGCTTTGTAATTACACACTATTATTTGGCTTTATAAGTGATCAAACTGGCCAAGAAAACTGAATGCTGTCTGAAATGGGATGGATGACATTTTCTCAAAATAGATAGTCCCTATAGTGCAAGTTGTGGAAATGATTTATAGAAATGAAAACATAAGCAAATGATGTTTTTGTGCTCAAAATAGTACAGAGAGCAATGCAACTATTTGCAGACAGTAATGGTAAGAAAGCAAGGCTGCCACACTCGATGGGCCTTGGACTTGCCTGAAATAGGTATCCCGCTGTAATTAAGGTAGGATTTACAAAACAATGCAGATGGCACCAGACTGGGCGGGGGGGTTGACATTTTCAACAGTTGGGGTGTATAAACAGATTACTTGTAATCACTGATCCGGGTCTTTTAGTAGTGCATGTCTGGCAGCCCACCCCCATCACAACACACATGCTGCACATCCACACCCCACACACACTGTTTGCACAGATCGCTATTATTAGCTTTTCGTTTGTTAGATGTTAGACTGCAATGAGGATCCTCCCAATACAAAATGGACAGGATAACACAAGTAAAGGTGATATATGGGGTTTCTTCATCAAAAGCAGCATGAATATTATATTTGTCACTAAGTACATCGTGTAAGCACAGATCTTATTCAGATCTTTTTGGAATTTATTAGACTCCAATCTGTCTGCATAGCTTGACCAGATGGTAAAAGCCACTCAAAGGATGCTCTAACGAAGCTGGATGTTTTTTCTTTTTATTGATGGTGGATGAAATGTTTTTCATTTTATCCAAATGTATCCTTTCTCACACATAAGTGATTTGTATTCTATTCCGCCCATCATCCTTCCCTCTATGTTGGATTTAGTCCCTTTTTTCCACAGTCGTCTGCAGCCTTTTCAAATAATATACAGACACACAGACATGGTCCACAATGGTTGAAATGTGATTATATAATATTATCATGTCACTGGCACAGCCACAAGCCAATATTTCTAGGGGCAGCATGAACACAGCACCCATCCATAGCCATTTGTTCCTCAATTGCTCAGCTGTTAATAACTGATGTGTGTAGAGCTATGATTTTATCTCAGCTCTACACATCCACCCGTATATCATCGGCTGTAATCCAATTTCAATTGTGATATCATCACCTGAAACGGGCACTCACTGACATACAACTTGTGTGTCCGTGCATAATGAGGATTGGCATAGCTAAATAAAGACTCTTACGGTAATCCACAGCCTAGAGGATGGTTCTAAGAATGAACAGTGAGACCTCACGCTGTGCAAGCGTGTGTGCTGGGTGTGTTTTTTTACTCCATGTCCAAGTTTGACTGGGATTGTTGTGTTGAACCGTTACACAACAAATCACTCCAGAGGCAGCCAGAACAGTCCAGATAAAGGTAACTAAAGCACACCTGTGTGTATAGTGCGTACTCAGTATGGTGCCAGGATTAACATCTAAACAATTTGCGATGTCACAAATAATGCCTGTACCTGTAGGCCTTGATCCAAATGTCAGAGTACAGGCAGAAAGCCTGTTGCCTGACAAAATACTGTGCCTACACAAAATCCAACGCAAACATTAATATACTGGAAATAGGGAAAATGTACAATGCTGAGTGGAGGGCAGCTGAAATCGGACAGTTTGACATTTTGTAGAATAAAATATATGATAAACATTTAGATTGTTTTTGATAGATAAACATGCAACAATATAAAAAAAGGTAGACTGGAAATGTCACCAGTTCAGTAAAACCTCCACATAAAGAGGCTCTACCCAAGGATGGAACAAGGGTTATTTTTGCTGTGAGGTTAAATGAGCAACCTACACACGACTGAGGAGTCCTACATGAACAGTCAGCCACACGACTGCAACCTGCAACTTCTGGATGCAAAAAACTTTGATCACTTGTCTTCAGATGAAGTGTATTCATGCAAAAGTATCAGTGTGTCTATAAACACAAACACTTTATTCATAGCACTACTAAAGCTTGCTGATCATTAAAATTGTGCCCCATTATGATCAGTCTAATGATTCGCCCAAAGGGACAGCAATATTTAGATAAAAACTCATCATTTTTGTGTGTTTTAATTACAAAACTACTCTTTCATTGTGTATCATACTGAATGTGCTTGCAGTGAGATGACCAGAATGTCATGTGCCCTCTTCTTTCTCACTTTACAGGGGTGTACCCTGACAATTGCAATCTATTGCTATAGCAACTGCACTGCACCAGCATCTCTAACAACGGGCATGCACATCCACCCCAAGGGTCACAGTCTATATGTCAGAAAGCAGTAAGTATGAGCTCTCTGGCTATGCACTGCATCACAAATCGATCATTATGAGCTGTGGCTAAATTAAGTGGCCTCAGCCGGAAGTTTTCCTACTGAATAAATTACACTTGTTGCTTACTGTTTGTGGTTAGTTTGTTGAGCTACTTACTGCTATTTTAGGCCTCTTATTTTCAGCCTTGTCATGAGCCAAGATCTCAACACAACCAAACTGGTCCACTTTGGGTCTCTGTATGTTTAATACAAGAACTCTGTTCAATTTCCAAAGAAATAGACACAACATAAGCTTACTGGTTCAAACCCCAGTGGGCCAGCAGTAGCTGTATTTTGCATGTGTTGCATCATTATCCATTTGACATGGTTCTAAAGGTCTGTATATTTGCAAAATCCAACATCAGCAGAAATGGAAAAAGAGGTGCATATCGAAGCTCTAAAATGCCAGAAGTGTCCTGTCTGTTCTGTTGAAGACACAGATGGAAAACAAACTCAGGAACACATCATAAAATGAGGAAGTAATGTTCTCTGGAATATTTTAGCTTTAGCCTTATCACCTTTGGCTGTGTAAATAATGCAAAGCAGTCATTGGCTGATTATTAAATTATTCATCAGGGAAGCGGATCACAAGATATAAGTGCCGGTACAAGACGCCGGATTGGACCTGTCCAGTCATGAAAACGTGCAGAAACAGGAAGACATGCAAGCAAAAGCAACACAAAGCCAACCAGAACACCAGTAATTTGCATTCTGTCCACGCTGTTGCTTGGGTTTGACTCAGTATTTGTGGTGGATCATGGTGACAAATCATGAGCTGTCATAAGGTGGTTCTTGCTGTCATCTCTAGATGTGTCAGTAAAGCTGTGATGACTTAGCTCAGCTGGGACTTTACAATCCTTTCTGACCAAAATGAACTGAGAGGCAGAATGAATGTCATTCAGACAGCAAGCTTGAAATATACATTAAAAAATGTACAGTTCACAAATTCTGTTGGATTTCCTGTTGTCTCTACTGGAAAGTGGTGGTTATGGTGGCACACTGAAAGGAAGTGAATTTGGCATGTAAGGCTGTCTTAGATTACGACCTCTTTTCTGACCCCGTCACTCTACTGCTCATCCTTAAATAATCGTCACTGGAGGCTGTCACAAAGAATCAATGAAAGGGTCATTACCATGGTAGCATCATTTCAGTGTGGCACCACACCCAATTAAGACAAAACCCCTCAGAAATAGCTGCTCATGATAGTGGTGATAGTTTGTGGCCCTTGACTGTTTGTGTGTATCTGGGGTAAGGGGTGTTAGTAGAGACCTTGGGAAAGAGGGAAAAGGACCACACTTACATTCCAGGTGCTTTTTCTTGGGCGCCATCACTTCGTGAGTGGTGGCTTTGCAGACAGCTCGGGCCATATCTGATCCCGTTAGCTGGTACTGCGCAGCGGCAATGCGATCCGTGAGCGTTTGCCCCGACATTTTATCTCCGTTCAGTCAACCACCCTAGGACTCTATGCTACCACTGGCCGAAGTAAAAAAAAAAAAGAAATGGATGTGTCTACGAATATATCCCGGCTCCCCGTCGGTTCCGTGAGATGGGATCCAGTGCTTTTCCTCCTCCCGATTGATAGGCCCGTGACCTTCTGTGTGGGCGGAAAAGGGGGAAATGAACCACCACAAACCACCATATAAATGATATTTTACTATTAGATTGTGAGGTGACGTCGAGAACGTGCGTTTTGACAGGAGCAGACTTACGCAAGGTTGAGAATTCCCCTCAGCTCGTCCCGTTATGGCTCCGACCGCCCAGTTCAGCACCTTGGACAGCTAAACCACTCGGTTATGTAACACTGAAAGCAAGCTACCTCCTCAGCCCGCAGCGGATATTTTGGAATAAAAATGGTCCAGTGAAAAGGGCAGATCGAAGCCTCTCCGGTCGTCCAAAATGAGGGTGAATTGGAAAAAAAAGCAAATCGGCCCTCCACGAGTGAGGACGTTGGGTTTGACTGGCTTTGCTCCCGCCTAGGTGCTTTGGGATGAAGGGACTTTCAAAATAAAAGGAGACCCTGCAGTGTCTTTGTCGGTCTGTCAGGAACGAGCGTTTGGTTTTCCTTTTTTAAAACGCGTCCGCCGCTGGTCTTCTTCTCAGACCAGGAGAAAATGTGCCCCCCTCCCGGTGGTATCGCCGCTCTGCGCAACAAACGATGCTCTGACACGGAAAAAAACCGACGGGAATATCATTCTCTCTTCCCTTCTGCCGTTTTTTTTATTTTCCTTTATTTTATTATTTTATTTTTTTTAGACTGGACCTATCTACTGGTCCAATCTAGATTCTCTAGGGCTCGTTAAGACTCTGATATCCCACATATGTAGTATCTTATTTTACAAAGGTGACGGCATGGGGTCACTGTATGGGAAGAGATGGCACTATGCGCCAAAGGGTTAATTTACGAGCCTGACTGTTTGTGCCTTGCCGCATGTAGGCTATGCATCACAGCTCTGTAAGCATCCCATCATAAAGATGGAATTTCTTTCTCCCAGGCCCTGGATACTGGCTAATGTCTGGTTGAGATTTGACCTTGTGATCGACAGGTGTTTAATTTGATTATATCTAATCGTCCTAAAACCACAGCAGTCTGAAAAAAATATTAAGATAGATTTAGATGGTTTCTTGATTATGCGTTTACACTTAAAAAAACATTTTCCAAGTTATCTGGAAAAAATATAATGCCGTGCTATGGTACGATCGTCCACTCCCACTTCCTATTCCCTGCAGAATGTAAAATAATAGAAAATTAAGTTTGACCAAATCTATAGCGAGAACTGACGTGCACACACAGCGTATTGCGTCATCTTACGTTTGCGGAAATGTGTCTTCTCCGTTGTCGAGTTCATGAGACGAGTATGGTTTAAATAGACGGGATGAGTATCGTAACCAACCAGCTAAAAAAGGGGACATAAACATTACCCTCCACTTGGAGAGCATTTAGTTGGTCTTCGAGAATTTTGTCTGCAAGAACAAACGGTTGATCATTTTAACAGAATGCCAGTATATCACATCAATGATACAATGTAGAAAAACGGTCTTTCAAGAAAAACAAACAAACTGAAGAACAACCAGGACAGTTGCTGAAGAAGGCACATGGTTAAAATGCTTAGGCTACACTGAGAATTTGAATTGGTCTGTTGCGCGTGCGGTTTTAGCCTCTTACAGAAGATGGCAGTGATGTGGCTCTCGTTGCAGAAGCTGCCGTAAAATCGACAACGAAGAAGAATGTTGGGCCGTGCTTCTTATTGGATGACAAGGGCCACGCTGTCATAAGCAAAAGCAGGAAGCTCCCTCTGCTACAGTGAAGCTCCAAACAGTAAGTTCTTTAAAGAGAATCCGCGTAACTTTTTTAAATCTTCGGTTTGAATGCAGCTGCCTCACGTTTATCAGTTTTGTGCTACGAGGTAACGTGATTTCGGCTAGCTTGTATAAAGGTCCAAGTCAGAAAGTTGGTAGGTCTGCTTCTTTATGGTGAATTTGGCCGTGTCCCAACGGACACACCTTCCAGACAACGTTAGTTATTAACACGAACTGTCGTCAAGTTGTTATTTGATAACTGACCGCATTTGAAGTTACTTTTATTGTAGAATGTCAGAGAAATGTGGTCAACCGCTGAACATGGTCCGGTAAAGGGCTGTTTCTGTTGAGTGTTTGAATGGGATAGACTGGTCTGTGGGAGGAGTCCATGCTTTAAACAAGGGACTATCTGTTTATTGTGTCATTAACCGATAAGATTTGTGAAGTCAAATAGAAATTTAGCAGCAATCATCCGCAATAATTAAACCAAGCCAAAATATTTAAAACTAATTTTAATATACATATATATTTTTTCCGTTTTTCACATGATTGAAGTGGGCGTGTATGCTGTTTTCTTTGTTTGATCCAGCACAGTATACTAGGCTATTTTAGGAAGATTTGCTTTATTAACCTAATCACTTAGTTAGACAAACATAGACAAACATTAGGCAGTTACACTTTGCCCTCTTGATGTGCTTCATATCTGTACTCCTCTCTCTTAACGGTTATGATTCATCAAGAAAACCTGTTTTTTCACACAATAGAACACTTCCACTCCCATTAAACCATTTAAAATGGGTGTCTTGGGCCAAATTCTTTTTTTTTAAAGACATCTACTTTAATAGAGATGTTTAAACAGTCTCCTTCACTGGCTGTTCTGTGGTATGTTTTTTTTAGTGACTGATAACTTTGAAGAGGTACTAAAACAGTCCAGTCTGCACCCTAAGCCATCTGGGTTGGTTTTGGAGTATGGCACATCTGGCTTCAGGACCAATGCCAAACATCTGGACCACATCATGTTCAGAATGGGTATACTGGCAGCACTCCGCTCCCAGAAGACCAAAGCTACCATTGGAGTCATGGTGACTGCATCCCACAACCCTGAGGTGAGGCGTAATATTTGTATTTTTATTTAACAGGGTCGGGATCTCAGTTTCTCTCTGTCTTGTAGTCAAGCTTGACACACTTGTAAAAAAAAAACATGGATACACATCTTTCCATTTTTATTTAATTTTCAGGAGGACAACGGGGTGAAGCTGATTGACCCGATGGGCGAGATGGTGACACCCGCATGGGAGGGCTACGCCACCCAGCTGGCCAATGCTGAGCAGGAAGATCTGCTTGCAGCTTTGAAGGACATAATAGAGAAGGAGTCCATAAACGTGAGCCTGGAGGCAAACGTGTTTGTTGGAAAAGATACCAGGTATTCAAAACTTAAACGTGCAAGTGCAAAAAACGGGTCAATCATGAACGCGCATTGTGTGCTGGAATTAATCTCACGTGTGCTTTTTTTGTGAATCCGTCATCTGACTGTAGAAGCAGCAGTGCCAGGCTTTCACAGGCAGTGTTGGATGGAGTTAAAGCCCTTGGTGGTCACAGCAAAGGTGGAGTTTATTTCCAGATCTGATCAGGGTCTTTTGTTTTTGCGTTTTCTTCTAATGAGTCTTCCTTCCGACACACTCTGTTTGTTATCAGACTACGGCTTGGTCACCACCCCACAGCTTCACTACATGGTTTGCTGCCAGAACACACAAGGAAAATATGGAGCTGCAACAGTAGAAGGATATTACAGCAAACTCAGCCAAGCTTTCAGCCAGCTCACTAAGAATGTAAGAAAATGGAGTGTGCTTTGTGTTGTTCTTCCTGTGTTTACTGCTTTGTTTAAAAGGATGTGTATTTTCTCACTACATCCTATCATAAAGGTTTAAGTCCACACCCATTTTTTTTCTCTCTCATGGAAGGCGTCAAACCGTACAGATGACCAGAAGCACCTCTGCGTTGATGGTGCTAATGGCATCGGAGCCCTGAAGGTGCGTGAGATGGAGGGTCATCTGAAGAACGACCTGCAGATGTCCATCTTCAACGATGGCAGCAAAGGGACGCTGAACCTCCACTGTGGAGCCGACTTTGTCAAAGTGCAGCAAAAACCTCCAACAGGTGTGCCCTCAGTTGGAAATGGAGACTGGGGTCAGCCAGTGGCTGTGGTTGAGGAAAATGGCCTCAGCCGCAGTATGTTTTTAGCTTGAGCTTTTTTCTAAAGGGGAAACTTCTGGTGGCTTTAGAGTCAGTTGCTGTGACTGAATACAGGAGAAAGATGTCTTGTCTTTGTTGATAACTGAAAACCAGACAGGAAGGAACAAGGTGGTGAGATGTGATCATTTGGTTTTAATCAACCACACGTGTGTGCTATCTCTGTTTCCTGTGGGAAGGCATTGAGATTAACCCGGGAGACCGTTGCTGTTCTTTTGATGGTGACGCTGACCGAATTGTGTACTACTACACTGACTCTCAGGGACATTTCCACCTGCTGGATGGAGACAAGATAGCAACTCTCATCTGCACTTTTCTTAAAGAGCTGCTTAATCAGGTATCGTCCCACGTATAGACATGTTAACAACAAACAGGCAAAGATTTAACAAGTAGTTTTTTTCCGCACACAGGCTGCTCTAGACCTAAAGGTCGCAGTGGTGCAAACCGCCTATGCGAATGGAAGCTCTACACGCTATCTGGAGGACGTAATGAAGGTGAGAAAACACACAAATTGAAGTAGTCATGTTTCGACAAAACCTTTTGTAGATGCATTTTGTTGTTATAAATTGGGTTGTCACTCAGGTAATAATAAAGTGCACTAAGACTGGAGTGAAGCATCTCCATCATGCCGCCCAGGAGTTTGACATTGGTGTGTACTTTGAGGCAAACGGCCATGGAACCGTATGTACACGCACACACTCATCATCACCAGTCCAGAACAGGAAGACAAACCCTGACTGTCTGTGTTGTATTTTTTCGGGTTGTGCCAGGTGTTATTCAGTAAGGCGGCAGAAGAGAAAATCCAGCAGCTAGCTGAAGACGGCAGCATCAGCGGCGAGAGGAAGAAGGCCGCTCTGCTGCTGCAAAGCACCATCAGCGTCATCAACCAAGTACGCACACACCCACACTGATCCCACATCTGTGAGTTAGGCAAACACTGGAGAGGTTCAGAAAAGAAATGATGCCCTCTTTTTCACCTCAAGACTGTAGGAGATGCCATATCTGACATGCTGCTGATTGAGGCCATCTTGGCCATCAAAGGGATGACGGTGCAGCAGTGGGACACCATCTACACCGACCTGCCCAACCGGCAGCTGAAAGTCAAGGTGCTTCTTTTGTTCCAGTCCTCCTATTCTTTATTCAAGTATTCACCTTTTGAACTGCATCAAATGTAAATACGTGACTAATGTGGAATTTTACAAGATTGTTTAGCCGATAAAAGGTAATACACATGTTTTAAAAAGCTTGCTCTTGTTGGCTGGCTCCTCCACCCCACATAGGCCCTGATTTTAAATCAAAGGAAGCTCTTAATCGCAGCCACAATTAATATAGTTAAACGAGGAGCTGTGTTCTATCTTCATGTGTTTGCCCCCTTGTCCTGCAGGTTGCAGACCGGAGGGTGATAGACACGACAGATGCTGAGAGAAGAGCAGTGAGCCCAGCCGGGCTGCAGGACGCCATCGACAGCCTGGTGAAGAAGTACAGACAGGCCCGCTCCTTTGTGAGGCCCTCTGGTACCGAGGATGTGGTGAGAGTTTACGCAGAAGCAGACACACAGGTGAGAGACATTCTCTTTATTTCTTTCTTTTTCTTTTGGAAGGTTTAGCCGTTCCTGACTTTGGAGCTTGTGCCTCTGCTTCATATTGTGTGTGAATAATGCTTTGGCTCCCCATGTTGCTTTTGCGTTTTAGGAGGGGGCCGATGCCTTGGCACATGAAGTCAGCCTTGCAGTGTATCGCCTCGCAGGCGGAGTGGGGGATGAACCCCAACCACTGCACTAGAAGCATATCCACAAACTGTAAATGCACACAGGAAGCAATCTATCATGATTGCGTATTTTATTTGTTGCAGGAAGGGCCAAAATGATTTTGTTATGTATAATTGCATGTGATCTTCTTTTTAGTCTCTTATAATTGTGATTACAAGCTAAGCACTACTGTGGGGTACATAAACAGCAAGAGACTGAATCTCGAAGGCTGGCATGTTCATGTTTAGGGTTTTGTTTAATCTCAATGAGCTACTGTACTTTATACATAAACAATGTGATTAAAGAATCAATTGCCAGCTATTTTCTAAGGTTCACACAAGGGTGTCAATCAAGTCTTTTGATTATTATTATTATTTTTTTTACATCAGGTAAATTGTCTCTTTCTTTGCCCAATGAAATCCAGAGTTTACATGTCTGTTGAAAAGAAGGCTGCTTTTAAATAAACTTTGAAATTTTTCATTTTCTATTATCAAAATCAGCACTGATGGCATTTTTTTCTTTAAATGAAAATCTACAACAAAGTTTGCTCGCTAGCTGTTTATTTTGTTGCATACGAAGGTTTTCTTCCTGCCACACAAGAGGTTAAATAAAGAGAAGCTGGCAGTTAAAAGCAAGGCGGTCGCTCAGGAGATTTTCTACTCTTCTTCTGTGTCCTCTGCTGCTCCAGAAATGGTGATGGTGCACTGCTGTGTGTTGCTCACATAAGTGTCCTCGTCTGTCTTAACTGTTCTGAGAAAAGAAAAAAGAGCAGGGAAAAAAAATTCAGCTGAGTGAGTTTCCTGTGCCGTTTGTTTACATTCACTGCACACCCAAAGCTACTGTCTACCTGATGAGGACGGTCTTCCTCTCACACATCTCGCATGCTTGCTGCTCTAAATTACCACCAGTCTGGATGTTTGATGAAACCGCCTTCATTTGGCTAACAGTCAGATCCTTCTGAGTCACGTCTCCCTCAAGCTTTAAAGTATCTGCTGAGCTTGAGTTATTCAAAGACAGGAGTAAGCCAGCAGGCTCCCCAGAGGTGAGATGAAGCTTGCTGTTCAGGGACAGGTTTCCAAACATGCTGCCCAGGCGGCTGTCTTCCCCCTCAATTAGTTTCCTAGTATGATAAGTACAAAAAAGTCAAAACCAACAAAAATAATAAGCAGACGTTTCTAAAATGTGATTTAGAAGAGTCAAAAGTGACATGGGGACAAATTTTGCGACTTGATAATATTAAAGCTCTGTTCACCTGTAAGTAGTAATTTCAATCTCCAGAGCCATCTTGGCATTAAGCAGATCCTGATATTCCCGCATCAGCAGAGCAGTCTTCTCCTTGCTTAACTTCAGATCTGACTTAACTGCATCTGCATGCTCCTGTTTCAAAGGATAGAGACAAAGCTAAAATTAACAATTGCTGTGATATATATGTATATATATGTATATACATATATATATATTATTTTAGGTTTTCTTTATTATAGGGTACATATAGTCAGCTGTTTGGGCTTCCTATGTTTCCTCTGTTTCATCATAATGTATAGTGCATCAATGTTTTCAGGCTTCTTATATATAATACAGTGCAGATTGGTTTACAAGCTCAGTTAAAATAAGACATGATTTACTTTGCAAAAGACAGTAACTGATAATGCTATATAACTCATACATATGCCTTGTAGTCCCTCTCCAGGTGAAATAATCTGTAGGTTGTTTTCATCCTTCTAAAAGGGGCTTTCTGTCTGCATCTCTTTGTTATTTTGGTGCTCCAGATTTAGTCCCGAACCGTGGCCAGTCTTTACTTTTCAGATTAAGCCTGTCAGGGAACTTTCTCACACCTGTTGATATTACTGACCTGTTGTTAATTATAACCCTTGAAACAACCAAGATGTTTCAAAGCTGTTTTTGATAGTCTTTTTTCAATTGATCCAGTTTTCAGTCTTTGGCTGGTCTTGCTCCTTTTTTTAATTTTTGTTTAAAACAGTGTCACTTGGATTAAATTAGAAATAAGGTAATCTTAGCAACTTTACATTTTTTTAAAGGATAGGTTGAAAATGTAAAGTCATATCAGTTTATTACCTGTAAGTCATCCTCTTCCTTCTTGTATTTCAAAACTGTATCCCGGATCATGACCTCCAAATACTCATTTCTTGTCTTCAGAGACTCCAAGTCACATTCCTTATTGAGGAGCTAAAAAAGACATACATCAGCACAATGCATATAGACTAACAAGTATCAGAATTCAAAACAAGAGAAAGAAATCATACTCACATCCTTCCTGTAAGCAGCAATTTCTTCTCTCATACTTCGCACACTTTGTGCATGTTTGGCCGAGGCATCATTCAGATCCTGGAACTTTGCACTGTACCAAGCATCCATCTCCTAAACAAGAGCATGAGAAGTACTTATATTGGACCTAATTATTTTTTACAGCCTGACATTCTGTTTTGTGTGTCTGGCCCTGCATGCAGCACTCAGGGATCTGGACACGAGCATCAAAATGTAAGGAGAGGCCAGTGCTTCATCGCTGCATGCTACCTGCAGGTTTTTAGCAGCCATGCTGTCATACTGAGACTGAATCTGAGTGATGGCAGAGGAGAGGTCTGGGAGGCCAAAGGTCAAGTCTGTCTTGGAGGCTGCTGAGTATATCTGCTGCATCAGCTCCTCGATTTCCTTTCAGTGGATCAAAAGCATCACAGGTTGAAAGGAGACGAATAAAAAGAGTGACAAGAAGTATTATTACCTATCCATTACACCTTTGGCGATAAAATTAAATGCATGCTAGCCACAAGCTAGTCACTCCTATGAAAGCATGCAGAAGACAGGCGGTTATATATGCCGTTACCTCCTTGTGAACTCTCTGCAGGAAGGTCAGTTGAACGTCCAGATTTTCCAGGTGCCTCTCCAGTTTAATTCGGGCTGAGGTGGCTTTGTCCACATCCTGGGACACAGACAAATGCATTTAGGTGTTTCAGTTTCCTAGAAACAAGTCCTCTAAATTAGATCTAACTTAGAGTTGTAATAAGACATTCCTGTGTGTCTTACCAGACGCAGAGCCTCAATGTCCAGCTCGGCCTGTTTCCTGGCTTGTAGAGATTCTTCATATTTGGCTTTTAGCATGTCCAGCTGGCCCACCATCACCTCCTTGGCTGCCAAAGATAAGTCCTGGAAGGGAAAATGGCCAAAAAGTTGTTTGGCAAAACTGATGTAAAAGTGAAAAGGAATGAATGACAGTGAGGCACGTTTGGTCTCTAAAATCGTCGGCCTGGTAGAGTGGGCTTATCGGACGCAGCCACTCTCTCACCCTCTGCGTTCTCATTTGCTCCGCTTCATTGTTGAGCTCCTTCAGCTGAGAGGCATACAGCTCCCTGAGGCCAGCTGTTCTGTCATAGGAGCTTTTTAAGGCCCCAATCTCAGCCTCTAGCAGGTTGTTTTTTGATTCCAGCGTTCGCACCTATAGGAAGACAGAGACTTAATTAAGCAGATCAGGGCATTCTTCCAACATGAAACATTAGTTTATGCGACTTTTGTGTGTGAAAGTGTCACTTTGGATGCACAAAGTCATGCCTTTTCAATGTACACTGCCAGGCGGTCGTTAAGGACAACCATCTCCTGCCTTTCAGTGGTGCGGGTTAACTTGAAGGCCTGGTTCTCTGCTGTAGCCACATCCAGGTCCAGATTAGTCCCAAGTCCATTGGACACACCCAGGCACAGAGTCCCCATACTCACGCTGCTGCAGGAGCAGAAAAGTTATTTCTTCTAAGTTGGTGACCAGATGTTCAATAACATACATTTAGCTTTAAGTAAAGGACTTATCTTAGTTTTAAATTGGGCCTAAATAGATTTAGTTAGCTTTTATGTATTTCTTTGACCACTCAAAAAAAATTATTTTAAAACAGGTTGGAGCCGGGAATTTCTCGGCTCCAGACCTGTTGACCTACCTGGTAAGGCGAGGCTTGGTGGTGATGGCCCTGTTCCCCGTCGTTTTCCACCCAGCATTTCGAGAGAAACTGGCAGACCTGTGACGGGTCTCCCCACGAGCCGGTGAGGGGCTAGACGCCCGAAACCGGTATGCGGAGGCCCCGGCATGGGTGACCTCGAAACGACGACGGTACGAGGACATCCTCTCTGGGCTTCGGCTCATGCTGACGGTTCTCAGACTGATGTAAGGTCAACTGCAGGCTGAAGGCAAAAGGCTGTTTCTCGCAGCCCGTGACCATGGGGTCTTTATACCGCTCTCGGCCCTTCCCTTAACACTACAGAGGAATGTTGAACCCTCCCAACCTATGGGCAAATGTTTCCACAAACATTTATCAAGGTTACGTCAAATAATTCGTACGGCCTACAGACTGATGACAGAAAAAACAATATTTTGATTAATGATTCTTGATGATTAATGATGAGGGCTAATGTAATTGTTGACATTTAAATTGGAAATACACCGATTTCAGAAATGAGCTCAATCCATTAAAAGTCTAATAACAAGTTAATGCACAGTGACAATATTTAAAATTCTACACAACCACGATGATTTATTAGTTTTTCAAAAATAATTAATTTCACAAAGAAGATATCATTACATATTTTTGTAAGCATTTAACCAAGCTATGGTCAATCATAGGCTACAATACACATTTTTAACCAAGGGCCAATTACCAGCTTGTTCTCCAGGGAGCGCTTCTTATTCATTTTCCCCTGGCATCCTCTGTATGAATAATAGTAGGAATATTGTTAAGGGAATCATGACATTGTTAACAAAGTCACAATTGGTGACTGTGAGTCAAACTTGTGTTCAGCTGTGAAACATTTGGCGTCAAGTAATGTAATCTCAAAATCAAGCAGTAAACCAGCTGCCCGTGAATTATATATTTTTTTATAATTTTCAAACTCGATCATTATAATTATTTATGGGATCCAAATGTTTAAGGCATATTACTGTTTCCTAAAATTACACATTTTTAAAGCGGACCATAAATCCCGGAACAATCATTCCACGTTATCCGGAGGGCTTTTGATGTTACTCCAGCTTTGCTCAGACAACTATTTTTCCTGTTGTATCTGTTTTTTATTTAGGCAAATTATATCAATTTAAGGTGCTCGACTTCAACTCAACCGCGAAAACATGGCTGGGAACTTCTGGCAGAGTTCTCATTAGTAAGTTTATGTGAAGATTACGATATGTTACGTATTTGCGTTCTTCCTGGTCGTCTTTGTTGTGAGGCCTAGCTCTGTGCGGCTACAACGAGCGGTCCAAAGCTCAGAGCCCCTTCTTAATATTCGGATAATTTTAAGAAAATGTAGAGAAATATATAGAGAAAAGGAAATTAACTTGAGGTAAACAAAACTGCTATCGTAACAGCGTGAATAACTCATTGTCTTTTGACACATTAGCTGTAAACACAGTGCTCTTGTTGCTGATACTGTCCGCTAATTTGGTTGTTCGCAGTTTGGCTTGACATTTTTTGTTTTTCTTTTAATGTAATATCATGCGTTTTATCCATTAAAGTCTGCAATGGGTCCTGGACAAGCAAGACCTCATGAAAGAACGCCAGAAGGATCTGAAGTTCCTCACAGAAGAGGAGTACTGGAAGCTGCAGATTTTCTTCGCTAATGGTAGTTTATTAGATGAAAATATTGCAGTTTTACCCCATGTTTACTTCTAATATTTACTGAGTTTCCTGACATTGTCATTGTCTTCTTTTTTTAATAAGTGGGTTTGTTTATTTCCCACCATGTGCAGCTATGATTATGTCAGATGTTTGGTGTAGTAATGTAGCCGTGTGTGTCAGTGATCCAGGCTTTGGGGGAGCACCTGAAGCTGAGGCAGCAGGTCATCGCCACTGCAACTGTCTACTTCAAACGCTTCTATGCAAGGTAAGCAACTGTATGGTCCTAAACCAAGAAATTAGGTTGTTTTTTTTTTTCACTGATGATGGAATGAACGATCCACCCTATCATCGCAGCCTCAGATTCTTTGATCAGTGTTTTGAAGAAGGTATAGAACCAGAAAAAAGGGGTAAATAGAGGCCTAGAAAGGTTTCCCACATCAAGTTTAACAAATGTGTGCCTAAATGTCAGCTAGTCAGCTTGCAGGCTTCAGACACAAATTTCAGACTGTTGTCTGTAGATAAGAATAGCTATGATATTGGTTCTGTAATTTTATTATGTTGTTGAGTTATCCCAAAATGAACGTTGTCAGAAGAGACGATGATTGAAGTCAAGTTTTCAGATTTCAGTGTGACATCTAGACCTTGAACCATTTTTTTTTCAACAAGCAAATCAATGCAGTATGGTACATTGACATTGATATTATTTTCTCTAATCTTTCTTATGGTTGAAACCTTTTCACTTAAAATATTTTGGTGTTTGCAGGTATTCTCTGAAAAGCATCGACCCAGTACTCATGGCTCCTACTTGTGTTTTCCTGGCTTCAAAAGTTGAGGTAGGAAAGTTTCATAGCCTTCATCTTAAGCCTCTTAATGATGGGACATGATCTGATGGACTACTATTTGTGTGTTGTGGCTCATCTCCTTCTACATAGTATTGTTTTTGTCTTTGGTTGTAATGTGTTTGACTAAAGCTTAATGATTGTCACTTCAGGAATTTGGAGTTGTGTCTAATACTAGGCTGATCTCCGCTGCAACATCTGTGTGTAAGTGCTACATTCATGGTCCCTAAACTTAAAAATAATTCAGTTTTATAAGTTGGGCTTTTGCTCATTTAGAGGTTTTGTGCTCACATTTTGTTTTCACTCAAACAGTGAAAACCAGGTTTTCCTACGCCTTTCCAAAGGAGTTCCCTTACAGAATGAACCATGTAAGTCAAACACCATCATTACAGTGTACATTTTGTCCTATGTGCTATATACTGAAATGTTGAGGGGATAAAAAGTTAACTTGTGTGTTTATGTTTAAAAGAGCTCAGTTGGACAAAGGTAGACTTGAAAGAAGTGGCTAGCAATTAGGCACATAATACTAAGAAATAAATTACGATGATCAAGACAATGCATCACGCTGCTTCCTCTGCAAAGTTATTTATGTCCAGCTGTGCTGAATTACAGCTCACCGAGAACCCCTTACACTGTATCGTAGTGTTGCCAAATTATTGTCTATCAGTACGTGAGATTCCTCAGCTAATGTTCGCACTCTAGTGATAAAAACCTAGTTGGTATGGGATAAACTGTTGCTCTCCAGCTCTGTACCCTCAGAGGAGTGTGTGCCCTTCTTTTGCCCAGCACCTCTCATTGTGCTGCAGGCATTTTATTTATCCACCTACCTATCATTTCTTCATCACTACCGAGGTGTTAGAACGTCACCAGGTCAGCTCTGACAGCCTGTTGTGTGAACTATTAATTACAGGGGCCACCGGGAGCAGTACACATAGCAGAGAATGAGTTCGCAAAGCGCTGTGACTCATAAACATAATTCTTCTTGTCCACATTGCAGACATAGTAAAACAGAGTGATGATGGTGTGGCGGGCACAGACAGGGGGAACCAAAATAATCCAGATGTTTACAAGATGAGTTCCTAATAAGGGAGAGAAATCATTTTAAGGTGATTCTCGTCCTAGCTTACTGTTTGGTGGGATTTAATAGTTACTATAAACAGAACTGGACTTTCAAAAGAACGTAAACATTAGTGGGGTCACAGTTGAACAAAACCCGATCTCAACTACAGCCATTCTACAACATGAAAAACAGATGTTCAAAGCGCAGGACTGAGACACAAACTGTAAAGTAATAAAACGCACAGTCCAAATCCAAACAGCCAGATTTCCCAGCCAGTTTTTGCAGGCAATTTGAATTTTTCTGAGTCACGTTTTTATTTCACGCTGAGTTCATTCCTCTGTTTGTCTTTACAGATATTAGAATGCGAGTTCTACCTGTTGGAGTTAATGGTGAGGAGCAAACAAAATATCTTCTGTTTTATTTATTCATTTTAATGTAGAAAGCATCTTGGTGTGATTAAAAGATCGTGTGGATTCTTTTCTTAATTTTCCAGGACTGCTGCCTGATTGTGTACCACCCCTACAGACCGCTGCTGCAGTATGTGCAGGACATGGGACAGGAGGACATGCTGCTGCCCCTGGCCTGGTAAGAATCTGTGCAAAAACACATCTGATCTGGTTGTTCTGTCTGCTCTCCTTCACTCTGTCCTCTGTCTCTGCCAGGCGCATAGTCAATGACACATACAGGACAGATCTGTGCCTGCTCTACCCGCCCTTCATGATCGCCTTAGGTGAGTTGTCCCCTTACTTTCCTCTCTGCAGCCGTGCAACACGCTCACTGACCGATTAGCCTTATAAGCTGTGACTCAATGGGTTCTGTCCCTCCTGCAGCCTGTCTGCATGTCGCCTGCGTGGTGCAGCAGAAAGATGCAAGGCAGTGGTTTGCAGAGCTCTCTGTGGATATGGACAAAGTAAGAGTTTTTTTTAATTTAAGAATTAAAATAAAACCCAGTTTAATGAACTCTTTGAGACATTAAAGCTTTTTTTTTTCCTGCATTAAAGGAACAATGACGTCCATCTTTATTAGGGAACCTGTCTATAATTTAGCTGTAATTCTTGAACATTTCTTTGTATTTAGAATCTTCACATTAAGGCTCTGTCTGTTAGGAGCATCAAATAAAAAAATCTGTCTATTGCCCTAATTTTTCAGGTTGGTTTGATCTATAAGAAGCATTAATGTTTTCTTGCGAATGTGTGTTTTATTTTTTAAGATTCTGGAGATTATCAGAGTCATTCTGAAGCTTTATGACCAGTGGAAAAACTTTGATGACAGAAAGGAGATCGCTGCTGTCCTTAACAAGATGCCCAAACCCAAACCACCTCCCAACAGGTAGGTCTTATTCTGGGATAAGGAGCACGACAGGAAAGCTGCCACGGTCCGCGTTTATCTCAAAGGTGTGCGTGTGTTTTTCTTCCTCTCTGCAGCGAGAGCGATCAGAGCTCCAACGGGAACCAGAGCAACTCTTACAGCCAGTCTTAGCACAGCCTCTGCTCTGCCACGACAATCTGTATCGTTCGCTTTAGGAGGGGCCCAAAGTTTACCGTCACACAGCACCACACAGCACAACATTTGCAGCGCCAGTTTGGGGGGGAGAAAAAGCAGATTCTTCATCCACGCCAACAGAGACAAACTCTCAGAGCAGAGAGTGCTCACGTTTCCTCTCTGCCATTCGGGGTTGTTGGGAGCTCTGCAGGCTGACTGAGAGTGGTCGGACACTGGTGAGAGAGCAGACGTGGCGGCTCATTCAGAACTTGTCTTTGGGAGAATCCTGGTATCCTTGAAGAACTCAGAGGAGCAAAGCACATCGGCCGGACCTCTGTGGGATTTGAGAAAACTTGATCACAAGAAGTGTGTGTGTGGCCGTGTGTGTTTGTGGTTTCCGGGGCTCTGGTTGTCGTCTGTGTGAAATGAGGCGATTGTGTGCGGTGTGAGTGGATGTGAGTGGGCATCCCCGTATCAGCGGGGAGGAGACGGGAGACGCCTGCCCTCTGGAGGCCCTGTGTCTCTTCATTAATGCACTTCAGCAGGAAGAATCCCAAGAGGCCCCTGTTTAAGGTAGAAAGTAGCTCTTTGGATAAATGAAATTTACTGCTTGAACTGCTTGATCACTTCTTCCCTCCCACCATTCTTCCTTTTGTAAATAGAAAAATGTATTTTCTTTCATGTTTTTTGCTAGATCAGAGGAACAGATTGAAATCCCTGGGTTTGTTTTGTCTTTGAATTCTGTATGTAGATGAAAGTGTCCCTTTTCATTTCACTGTCACTATTCCTTTGGCCCGTGAAAGGCTTTTGTGAAGTGTTCGCTTTTTAACCCATCAAGGAAATGGAAATCATGCTTTTTCTCCATTTGCTTGTAATTTCTTTTTCTCATTCAATCGCCTCCCCTCTGCTGTCCATGAAATCATCCAGCTGTTTCAGTATGCCTGCATTTACCTATTTGTTTCCTTGTTTTTCTGACGTGTGGCTATAATCCAAAACCAGGTGCCTGGAAGCCTTACAGAGTTAGTCTTAGTCAGAGTGTGCTTCAATAATAGCACACTGTGCCATACAGGTCCATTTTGTGTATTTTAAGGGGTTGTAGGATTTCTTGGTCACTTATTTTTATTTGAACTTTTTTTTTTTCCTACTGTAACATCATAAATGGTACAAAGGCACCTTTTGTTAAAGGCGGCCCTTTTGTCCGAAATAAACATGACATGACAGTGAATCCTTTGACGCAAACTAAATGTTGCCTTGTTTTTCTTAGTCTTATGGTGCCACTAAACATTCACCTGCTCTCTTTAACAAAGCATCTCATACTTTATGGTGTTATGTCACAGTCCTCTAACAGACTATTGGGAATTTTCCAGACACAGAAAAAAAAAGGGTATATGCAGTACATTTACCTAACTTCAATGTCAGGCTGTGATAGGACACCTAGTGGTGAAAACAAAGGCTGATGTGATGCAGATGTTGACACCTTGAACATCACTACAGTGAGCTCCTCCAGAGAGACCCGCCGCTGGCCAGCTGTGCAGAGACAACAGCTGGGATGGATGAGGTGAGCTGCATTTTTGTCAGTATTGTTATGTACAAGTTGACACCTTGGTACAGGCAGTTCCCTTTACGTCACTAACTGCATGAAGCCTGCGGCGGGCAGCGGAAGTAGAACAGTAGTCCACCCCATGTGTCCTTCAGATTAAGATTCTTCCATTGTTTTTTTTAGATATTCATTTCTGATTGTTTTTTTGTAAGTAAATGTACTTGTATGTATATATTTATGGAAGTTCGGAGAGTTAAATTTTCTTTTAGATCTAGATATTTTATTGTTTTGAATTTCCATTTTATCCCACAGCTACCTGACAGGCAGTTACCTTTTATTGTGTCTTACTTTTAAAAGTATGTTTTCTTATTCAAACACCAACAGTTCACCTGCTTTTCAATATATACAGTGATATGTATGTTGATATTATTAACTGAGACTCCAGCTAATTTACCCCTGTATGTGGACATGAATTAACAGGAGGTGTTGCAGTCTCCAAACAGTTCTCTGCCCTCACAGGTAAGTTTTGCTGTCCTGAAGAAGGTTATTATTATTTTTATTTACTGAACAGACTTGCGTGACTTAACTGTAACTTTGACTGTAACCAAAACGAGTTTCGACCCGGATTTCTCACGTTATGTAGCCGATTCCAATCCTAATGTTATAAAACGTGATTCGGAAATCTCCCTTTTAATCTGAAAAACAAAACCGGAAGTGTTGGCGTTAACGTTTTCCTCTTGCCAGCTACCAGAGGAGAAGGGTCGGTCAGGGAGCTCCGGACGGGTTCCAGGAGATGGCCGCCCCGCTTCGGGGACAGACCTCGGACGGGATGTGTGAGCCGCCCCCCCCCCCCGGCCCCCCCGGGCACCCATCCGGCCCCCCCCGGCGCCCATGAGGCTCCGGCCGGTGCAGGCCCGAGCTGCCACAGCCAGGCGGACAGCGGCCGGCCACTCCGAGCATGTACTGGCGCGTCGGGCTCTCCTGGACCGGGTCGCGCGTGGCTGATCTCTGCCGGAACCAGAGCGTCTCCCCCGGCCTGCCGGGCCCCGATGAGCGGCTCTCGCTGTATGGACACATCGTGGCCTGCCCGCTGCAGGACTACGGCGGGGTGATGTCCGCCCTGGGCTCGGACTCGTGGTGGCGGAAAACGCTGTATCTGACCGGAGGGGCTCTGCTGGCCGCCGCCGCTTATCTGGTGCACGAACTGCTGGCCATCAGGTACCGACGACCCCGGGCTCCCCCCCCCCCCC